ACTTACTATCTAAGACAGTCCCAAACCTCATTTGAGTTGACAGAGAGATCTGCTCAAATTGATAATCAATGTCAGCAATAAATAAAAGTTTATGATGAAAGCAAAAAAGGAAGAGTCATTTGGGTACTGTGGTTACCTCATCTTTGCTGCTGCCTTCAGGGAGACAGATGTGAATAACACGTAGACCAACCTGCCAAAAGAAAAAATGAAAATTACCACACACAGGTAGCTTATAAGTGATAAAAAGCATATTGTCTAAAGCTTACCTCCTCAGCAATGTTCTTGTTTATTTCTTGGACCAAAGGGTCATTACGTGCCTTGGGGAACAAAAGAGAAAATAAGTTCTAAAATAATAAATTTACATTTAAAAAATGTCAGCATTCTAATACACAGCTGCATGCAAGAAACATAGTGAGGGTGCCTGTGTCCACTAGTGTTAAAAAACAATAAACAAGAACGTGACCATTCAACAAACATATTTTGGTTTGACTAGTTTAAGTGTGTGCTGAGATTAGCATGGCTTTTATAGATAAGACTGGCTATTTCCTTAATGTGAGTTTACCATTTGAGAAAGGTGCCAGCCTGTTTCTGGAAATACCATTCTCCATCCAGCCATCTAACAAGGAAGAAACTGGCAACAGCAACGCTAGCATTTTCTGCATTATCTGCCTGCCCCTCTCCCCCCGTATTACCAACCAACACTAGTTTGCCTCACCACCAAAACCAATGCAAATCATTACCATCACACATTACAGTGAGCTCTGTCATATGAAAGAAAAAGTTACCAGCTCCTCCCAGCTGTCAGCAGACACCTGCTCCAGGCCAGAAACATCTCCTGAGCAGATTTACCTGGGAGAAGCTCCATCTCACCTGGCACTCCTCCTGCCCTGAGGTCTCCACTTCTATTTGCATCATATTTATCACAATATTTCCTTTTTTTATTTTTTTTTGGCTTACTACTTAATCTTGAACTTTAGGAGACTTTTCAATTTTCATATATTGCAACTATAAAACAGAATTCAATATCCAGAACTATAAACCTCCTATCAACAGGACACCAAGACTTCCACCTCTTAAAATAGCAGGGGCTTTATAACAAAATTAATAAAAAAACTTATTATTGCAAATATATGATTATGTATAAAATGTGTTTTCCAATCCATACAATGGGACCAAAATAAACTGTTATGAAAGGGTTCATTACAATTTAATGCATACATTCTATGTAGCCCCTGTGTGAATGATTTCTCATTGGAGACGAGACATTCGCTTAGTGGACAGCCTCCAGCACTGGCTTCATCTGTGACTAGTGTCACCCAAAATGATTTTGGTTCAAGCCCGTAACAATTCACCGACCTGTTAACCCCCTAAAAAGCTAACAATGAAAAAATCCCACAGGATTTAAAACAGACACTGGGATCCTCCATACCCCACCCAGAGTCCAGCACTGCCAGTATACTCAGTGTGGCGCTGACACTCCTCTTCCATTCCCCAAATCTGGCACCCGGGTGTGAGGGGCATTGCAGAGACCACTGCATTGAGAACATGAGTGAAACCAGCACTGATGCAAGGGAAGGAGAGGTGACGTTAAGGACAGCTCAGCAGCTGCTCCTGTATGCCACAAAACATGAAATTGTAACCCCCTTGCCGATACCTACCTAACAGGACTGTTAACACAACTTAATTGGGGTTCAGGCACCAGCAGCACGATACCACCCCCTGATGAGAGCTCACCTCCTGCTGGTGCAGCAGTCCCTGCACTGACCCAGCGCCACCACAACCTGCAGGGAGCACGGCCAGGCCTGATGATGCAGGCCAGCAGGCTGCAGGGCAACAGCTCCAGAGCTGAACAGGATCCTGATGCTGGATACTCATTTTCAGCTTAAATATAATTAAACAGCAGCCACCAGGGATTTTTTTTGCTGTTGTGCAGGTCCAGTTCAGGTTCAACATGGATTACAAGCAGTGCAGGTACCAATCACGAAATCGACTCAGGCTCAGGTGGCTGGAGGGGAAAAGCAGGCAGCTAGAGCCATTTCCAGAGCAGGCTCAGCCTGAAACTCCACGTTCCCAGCACTGCTGCACTTGAGGTGCTGCCACGCTGTGCCAGCTGCTGCCAGCTATGAACAGCTGGATGAAGAGATCATTTCCCTCTGCTCGTCTGGCTGCAACGTGTCACTTGGAGAGCAGCACAAACCTCAGGGCTCTGCCCATGTTACCCAGGAGAGCAGAGCACCACGAGAGCATTAACAGACTAAAATAAGTCCTCTTTGTACCAGCAAATATGGATGTACAAGGAATTCTGCTTCAGCCCTCACTACCAGGCTAGAGCTAGCGTGACACACAGCTGAAAAGTATCAGCTGGGTGAATTTCATGCAGAGGGATCAAGCCACATGTTCTGCAGCCCTCTCATAATGCAGATCAGGTGGGGTACATGGGGATACCAGAGGGACATTTGCTTAAAGCACAAACGTGATCCAAACCAAAACACTGATGTTAAACACGTCCTAAATCATACTATAAATGAGCCAGAACCTCTCCCTTCCTCACACAATGCCCCTGACAACAGGTGACCACTTTTTTTTTTGTCAGCCCTTAAAACTCACAGCCGTACAGAGGGCTGTCTGAAGAGTAACCACTGTTACCTGGAAGGTAAGAGATGGGAGAAAGCCTGCTCACTCGGCCTCTCTAGATGACCTACTGAAATAAAGCTGGTGCATCATCTCTTAGATTCATTGTTACTGTTTCAAAATATTTATAGTTAGGTTTTAAAACCGAAACCCACTAAGTCAAAGATTCAGCATGCGCTGCGTCAGAGCCGCCAAGACCACCCTAGGAAACAGGACAAGGATGTTTCTGCCGGTGCAGGTCTGGGTCCTGCTCTGAATGGCCAACAGCCCAGCTTCTGGGCCCCTACATCTTCAGAAATCTGAAGGGGAACATGTTTCAGCTCTGCAGGAAAAGCAACCCTCACTCAGGAGTTTGTTTGCCTATTTCAAAGCCAACAGTTCCACCTGGGTATGAAGCTCTTCAGAGGCTACCAACACACCAGCTCTCAATTAGTAAGAAAGTGCTCCACCTTAGGAAGTGCTGCTCCTTTTGAAAGCTAGCAGTATTTTAGGGCGTGTATTGCATAAAGGCCCTTTTAAGGTGCCTGGGACTTCTCAGGGTGGCTCTTTCCCCAGGACAGTATAATGCAGTCACACATCAGAGCTGCCCAGAGGTAACCAGGCTGGCAGGAAGAAGCTGTTTTTTCCTCTGCCCTGGCAGAGTTATTTTGGGGGAGGACAGCAAAGAAAGGCCCAGTTTTTCAGGCCCATCAACATGTTATGCAGGACTGCAACAAAAGCTTCAAGCTAAATAAAGGCCGAGAAAAACAGCTTTAACTCCGTTACATGAATTGACTTAAACAATCCGAGAAAAGGCAATCTGCACTTGCTATAGGGAAGGTTTTAGCAAAAGGAGGAATAAAACAATCTCCTTCTCCCTAACAACCACTTCACTGCCACCTGAGGCTTGCTGGGCCTGTTTTAGGCCTGGTGAATGAATTATGAGCCCCAAAACTCTGAGAGTCCTCCCTCAACCTTCAAGCAGATGGGGTGACTGGCTCCTATCATTTTGCTTGAAAGAGTTGCTTTCTCCATCATTTGCTCCTGAAGTCTCAAACAAGAAACGACACTAAATGCGATCTCTCATGTTTTACCTGGATGATGGCAAGCGTTGGCTCAAGCCGAGGGTTTTCTCTCTTAAGAGAGGCCAAGGATTTTCTTGCATTCTCAGCAATCTTGCTGCAACAAAATAACAGCACAGGCAGATTTTTAGCAGAAAGCAAACAAACAAGAAACTGACCTCCCATGAGTCAGCTGAAACCCACGTTAGCTAGCAATAGAGAATAAACGCTTAGGCACACACATTTTTAATTACCAAAATGCCTCGTATGCTGCGAAGGGCGGCGTTTAGCAGCCAGGTAGAGAAAACCTGACCAGCTCGGGATGCCTTTGTTTTACAGCATCAGTGCTCCAACATGCCCCAACCTTTATAGCCGTGCTGTGTCACCGCTTCGTGAGGAGGCTTGCCTGGCCCCACGGCAGGGAGATGCCACCGAGCCACCACCCCGGGGCCAGGCGGGTCTGCAGCCCGAGAAGGAAGCACTGCAGCTCCCTTCCACCTCGGGCTGCTACAGCTCCCCTGGCATCCCCAGCAATAAAACTGCCGCTTTCTGGATGCCGTTCAGAGCTGCGGGCGGCAGGGAGACAGAGGAGCTCTGTTTGCCGCTCTGTTTTCTTGGAAAAAGCGGCAGAAGCAGCGGCCAGGCACCGGGCAGCCCCGCTGGAAAATGTTATGGGGGAATTCCTGGCGGCTCCGCTACCTTAGGCACGTACGGAGGGGGGATGCTGCGGCGAGCGGGAGACCCCCGCTCCCATTTATCCCCCCCCAGCAAGCAAAATACAGCCTAGAGAAGCATTTTAGGGCCGGACATCCCCTTCGCAGAACCCAGCACCGCGTCCCGGATGGGGTTTGGTGGCCACATGGCCGGGGAGGGCTCGCAAGGTCTCTCGCAAGCTCTCTCCGCGGGCCACCCCCAGCCCCCCCCGGAGCCGTACCCCCGCAGGCAGAGCCCCCCATCCCCATCCCCACCACCCCCAACCCCATCCCCGCTTTCGGCCCCCTTCTTTCCCCCCCCCCACCCCCCGGTTGCATCAGCCGGCAGCGCCGCCCCCCGCTCACCGCGCCGCCCGCGGCACGCTCAGCCCCCGCCGCGGGGCCCCGGGCAGCGCCGGCGGCAGGAGGCGGCTCCGCAGCGCCGGGAGCCGCAGCCCCAGCCTCATCCTCAGACTCCACCGGGCTGAACGGCGGCGAAGCCGGGGCGGGGAGCGGGGCAGGGGGGGAAGGCGGTGCTCATCCGAGCACCGCCTTCCCCCCCTGCCCCGCTCCCCGCCCCGGCGGAGCCCCCTTTGCTTCCGCCCCCCCCTGCCCCGGAAAGAAGAGAGCCGCGGCGTTTTGGAGTACTCGACGTTTATTAAAAATATATGAAATGGTCCCTGGGAGACACGCTACGCGCTGGTACAACTCCCTTTTCTTTAATAATTATTATTTTTTTTTTCTCCTCTCTTTTGTTCCAGCTCCACCGATGGCGTTGAGGTGCGGTTTCAACGGATCTAGAGCGCGCGGGGTGAGGGGGTGTCAAGCAGAGATTTAACTCCTGTTCGTATTTACAATACTTTACAAGCTATATTAAATAAATACGGGCTCCACTACATCTCAGCGGCGTAACTATGTACATCATTCCTCAGCCAGCAGGCCTGGCACATGTTGGTAAGCACCCCGACCAGCCAGCCCTCGCCCTAACACCTCCTAGCCGATGCAAGACACGTCTGGTAAATAATTTAAACTCCGTTCTAACAAGTTCCAGTCCTTAAATCGCAACCTGCAAGTAATTAGCTGTACGTTGATCACCTCATTTTTTCCTCGTCGTAACCAGTGGTGGAAATAGGCAGCGGTTCTGGAAGCGCAGTGCTCGGCGACTGAGGGGAGCGATGCGTGGGTAGTGAAAGTAGTACTTCCACTCCGTTATTTAATGGTATGTTTAACTCAGTACTGGCTTTATCTGCGTAATCTGGAGAACTTCAGCACCAAAAAACAACAACAGTCACTCAGATGGTCAGTGCAGACATATTTAGGCTTTCCTATCGGTACAATGTTTTCAAGTAACAGAATCCAAAGCTGTGCAACGAAGATGACAAAAGGGAGTAAACGTGCATCATACCGGAAAGTCTGTTCCTATAAATGGGAGCATTTACTCTGCACATCATTTGCGAAAGAATGGAATGTATTCTCATTTTTAAGCTACTTGTACATGAATTGAATGAGATTCAGTGCTGGCTGATTTAGAAAATGCCTCTTTCACCCCGCTCTGCCAGGAAGGATTGCTTGGATTGCTTCCTACGATGGAGATGCCTCCCCTGGGGAAGACAGCTTGTAACTCACCCAGCAGTATTGCTGAAACACCCTGTGGCTCAAACACGCCGCGTGAATGAATGGTTCACCCCAGCATCCAGCCAAGTCCCGTTCTCTCTCAGGGTTACTGATTTTGGGACCTGACCAAACAACCTGCAGGCCACTGCATGTAAATGACGCTTGGGAAATCCACACACAGCGGCTTTCAAGTGCTAGGCTCTGAGCTACAAGCTACTCGGATTTTGCCTGCATGTCACAAACACTGCAAACGCTGGACTTACAAAGCCAGGGATCTGTCTAGTCGTGTCCACAAGCAACAGAGCTTCTACTGCCCAGAACATCCTCCACACAAGGATGGTGTCATGCTGACCGATTCACATAAAAGAGCTGCCACGGCCTGTCCTCTGCCTACTGTGCAGCTATAGAAAGTAGAAAAGGCTTCAGACACAGCTATCATCTGACATTGCTCATAAGCACAGGGACTAGATTTTGTTTAAAACAAGTCTGCTCTAAAGTAACATAGCATATTTGGTGTCACATGCATTGGTCCTGTACACTTGGAATTTCTCTGTCAAAAGTAACATGAGACAAGTTTGTGCAGTTGCACGGGTGGCATGTTGGTGTCGTTACCAGAACTGTGCTCAGAAATACGCGCCCTCAGAGGAGCAGCCACTCAGCCAACTGCTACCACATGCCACCAGAGTAATCGCATGGATATTTTGGATGTAGAACCAGTCACAACTCAGAAGTCCAAATACTAAGCTTTCCACATGGTAACATGGCTTAACAATCAAATGGTATCATACCTGGATAGACAGTACGAACCAAGGGGTATCACACCTAACAAGAAACTCAGCTGAGGAGAAGGAAGGGAAGAGATGCAGAGGTTAAATATGAGATCTGAAGTCCACCTGCATTATGGAGTGAGACAGCAGACAGTGCACATGTGGCCTTTTAACTTCCAGGATTCTAAACCATTAAAAATAAAAAAAAAAAAAGATACATTTCACATCTATTTACAATATTACTGTGATACAATGCCTGACGGTGTAATATTACAGAAATACGTAATGCCAGTACTGATTGTCCTAGTATATACTCTTCATGTACAGCTAGAAATCACTGGAAGCATCAAGCAAAGCTACTTGAACTAAGACACTGAAACTTTTCCCTTAAAGACTGGACGATATTCTGCTGGTTAGGAGATGGTACTCTCCACAGGTAGTCGTTCAGTTTGTCTGAATCGCTGTATGCAGTCAGATACGGGGTAAGCGCATGCTTGCTGCTGGTGGACTTTGCAGGAGTACAAGACACAGTTTTGCTGCAGAGCGTTTCAGAAGGAGCAGTGTCCGTATTGTGCAATTTGGGATCCAGTTTCCTTGTTTGGTTCTGAGAAGTTTCCAGGTCAGATCCCTCATCTTCAGACTTTATTTCTACATAGTCATCATCATCCCCTTCCCTTTCTTCAGTGTCTTTGAAGTTAGAAAAATAGTTCTGAGTGGCCATCTGTGCAGTCAGAGGGGAGGTCCTGTTTACTCTCAGGACCTTTTGAGAATCCTGCAGAATCATATCCGAATAGTTTTCAGGGATCTGCTTTCTTGTATCAAGCCCCGTACATGCTGAAGCAATACCCAGCGTGTGATGGGTGTTGAATCGGAAGTTCCTACTCGAATGAAACTTTTTCTTGTCCGTTTCATTAGGATATACAATGGATTCTCCAGACCTGTTGACGACAATTGAGGAAGACGACTGTGACCGGCTGTATGCCTGTGGCTTCATATTGCTTACTCTCCTCCCAAGGGAGTTATAGATGTGATCTTGATGTAAATTTTCTTTGTTAGGTTGGCTTATAATCGTGCTCCACCTCTGCGCTGGGACATGCAAACGGTTAGAAATCTGAAGGGAAGGCACTGAGCAAGCTGACGGCAACTGCCTTGAATTGCTTTTTGTACCAGCTTCTGCATATGAGCCCTTGGACTTTGGGTCTTGGGACTCAGGCCATGGAGAATAGTCAGCCAGCTCGCCGTTGCTGTATGTAGAATGCAAGAGCCAATCCTCTGCTCTTGGGCATTCACTGGCAGCCTGGGAACGGGGGGGAGACGCAGCCACGGGAGTGGAAAACCTCACGGCTGATGGCTCCTGAGGGCTGGCCCAGGCTTCCTTTTGGACCTTAGGTGAACTGTCTCTGAAGACAATCTGGTCATAGAGCTGGGAATACTCAGCTATTCTGGCACCTAGAGAAGAGAGAGATTTAACATGAGACAAACAACCCATTCAAATGTGTTGCATGCAAATTTAAAAATCCCAAAATGCTTTGTATTGGCAAGAGAAAAGTTTACAGCTTTGTCAGTGTCTTCAGCCTCACAGGCAACAAAGTAACACAAAATAACGAAGACTAGAAGAACCACACCTCACTGGCACGTTTGCATTGTCTTCAATGCATTTCATTGCAATTCAGTAAATTGCACTGAAAAAAATAAAAAGCCTAACGTGTTGCAACAGCAAGCAGTCAATGAATCACAAATTCCACAACGCAATGAGAGCAATATAATCACCAGTTACAGACGAAAATTACAGAAGAAGTTGCTGTTAAATCTGAAACTGTTTAAGCCTCCAGTATTTCCAAGTCACCAGACTGGTAGTTTTTCATCTTGAAAGACAATGATTTTACCCCTCTAAATGTGAATCGTACTGGTGTGACACAGGCATAACTGTACTGCCCTGTGAAGGGAAAGAGCCTAGAGGAGCTGCTGCCTGCAGGTCTGCTTGTTTATCCAACAGTTTTGTTTGATCAGACCATTGCAAACATACCTGTGCTTGCAGCCAGTTCACTAGCTTGAAGACTGCCTTCTAAATAATACCTGTCTAGCTAAATGCAGAAAAGCATGGGAGAAAGCATGAAAGAACACAATTTTCATCTATTTTCCACGTCATTTTTACACCAGAAAAAGATAGGGATGGCTAATGATCTGCTTGATCACTGTTCCTCTTCCTTTCCCTCCTTATCCCACAAGAGCCTGAGAGCTGCAAGAGAGTCAGCAAACAAGGCACAAGAGCATGCTTGTAGAGAGCTTGCTGTTGGATGGGACTAACCTAGTTTTCAGGCCAGCATCTAAGCAGCTGGATAAGCTGCAGCAACTACCTGCAGTTCTCTTAAGACTTGTCCTGCTTGGGCAGACACAGCCTCTTCTCTGGAGTGGGGTTGTATTTTCATATGTGGCTTTCCTGAGACAGGGAGGCTCCTTTTAAAAAGCCAAGAAGGCACTAACCACTGCCTGGGAAGAGTAAAGGGGACAGACTAACATCCTGTGGAAAGGCTGGAAGTGGGAGAAAGGATTATGTGTCTGAGAGACGCCAGAGGGAGCAGATTCACAGCTGCTTTCAAGCCATACTAGTTCAAGGAAATGCACCACTGGGCTTCTCGAGAGAAAATGATGAAACCAATGATACCTTACAGGGAGAAATGGTTAGCTAGGAAATGGTCAAAGGCCTTTCAAGAACCTCTGAAGTTTGGTTCAATACTGCACTTCGGGATACTTATTCAAATAGTGTACATCTTTGAATTCGCCCCACTGCTTAATTCACGAACAATTCTGCCACTGTGACATGATGTTTGGTGCTCATAACATTTCCTACAACATGTCCCATACAAAAGTACTGCAGGCAGCACAGCAGGATGCAAGGAAACAGTTCCAATTAGATTCTGTTTGTTTCATGACAAAATGGAGAAGAACATTCTGAAATGGTCTAGTGAATAAGATATTTAGGGACTTTTATAAATACCACCAGGAGGCAAGAATGACACTCCAGAGTGTGGAGTCTGCTGGCTCCATGGCTCCAATTTGTTTTGATTGAATATGGACAAAAATAGTTCCAAAGTTGTTGCATACCCATGACTTTGTATGCTTATTAGAAAGACAACTAGCTGTATCTTATCTGACCCCACTCCTTATTCTTGTTAAGTGTGATGTGGATAGTACCTTAGCGAAACTACCTGACTTGTGAAGGTGAACCTATATATGTTTTTAATAAAAATCTGAAGATCACGCTATTAAAGGAAATAACTACTTTTCTATAAAGAGGCCAGTGGTGCTTCAGGCAGGATTTCTATTTATGGCCTAAGCTGAATTGATCTTTCCTGACACTGTCCCAGGATTTCTTACCAATTTTATCAAGTAACGGCAAGCATTTGTTGAGATACAAAGGACTATTCATGTCAGAAACAGTCACAAAAAACTCCTTTAACTGGTAACACCAAAAATGCAATACAGATACTCAGCGTTGAGAAGATTCATAATTTTCCAACTGCATACACAAATTTCACAGAAAGTTACTAAAGAAATAAATCTGTATAGGAATATTTTTAACATACCAATAGCAGGACCACCTTGTTTCTTCTCCTCCAGAATAGCAGCAAGATCTTTGTGTTTCAGCTTCTGTTGTCTGCTAGCTGGCTGTTCCTGCTCTGGACTTTTAACTTTCAAAAGCTGGTTAGCCTTCTTAATTTTCTGACTGTATTGCCTGGCCATCATAAAAACTCTGTTCTTTGTTTTATCCATGATAGCCGTGTCATTTTCCATGCCCTCCATATGTGCATTGGATAGAATACTATTGGCAGATTCATATGGGCTATCTACAAAAGGCATCTCACTGGAGAAGGAAGATCTGTTCAGACTTGCTAAAGAGGTCTCCTTGCATGCTGTAGTGTCGTCAAGTTTGAGACTGGTCTCACTTAAGGTGGCAGCCCTAGGCTTCACAGTTTTAGGGAAAATTGGAGTTTCTGGCAGAGAGAGAGTAGACAGTGAGTACTCTACCTCTTTACTCAGTTCAGGTGTACTACCAGCATGCAGCCTTTCCTGCATATCATCTTTACAAACAGGAAAGGCTGCGAGAAGTCGGTCTCTTGTCTTTTCCTGATTCTTCTTGATGTAATTCTCCAGGTCATTCCAGATCTCATCTACCTCCTCTGACAGTTTATCTGCTGCAGATTTATGGGACAATGAATCGGAGTTGGAAGAGCTGTCTACTAAGCTCAAATAGTCATTGTCAACAGGAACTCGATGGTAAGGACTCTCATCTTCACTGAACTGGAGGCTCTCCTCAGAAACAAACTGCTGCAGACTGTCAGAGCATGCCAAGTCTTTTTCCAGGCCCAGAAAACTCCGCCTTTTAGAACATTTTAAGGGGTCACACTTAAAATTCAATAGCGGTGTTTCTGGAAGTGCTATGGTGTCATAGATGTTATCTTCAACAATTCTGAGTTCATCCAAACTTGAAGTAGGTGCTTCTCTACTGAGCAGGATCTCATCCCTGCTAGCACGAAGGGAGGCCCTGTTTTGATTTGTTATCCGCTTTTTGGTGGGTGAATCTAAGCTGCTTTTGTTTTCAGCCTCATAGAGAGAGTCTCTAGCAGATCTCTGGGGACCATGGTGTGTTTCCTCCCTTCTTGTCAGACCCATCAGCTTTAAGTCTTCATAGCTGATATTGTCATAAACGTGTTCAATATCATCAATGGTCAGCTCCTCTGAAGATTCGGGATATGCATTCATACCGCTCACCTCTGTTCTCTTCACATCCCTTCGAGAACTGCGCTCACTGATTTTGTACCTTGTGCTGGCTGTGTTACTTTCACCAGCGCTACTGGCACGCCTAACGATTTTGTGGCGACTGGAGCTGGTAGTTTCATTCTGTTGCATTACCCCCAAGTGCCAGCTGCATGGCCGACCAGAAGGACCCCTCCTTTCTCCACCAGCAGCTGGACTAGTGTTGGATGTAGACACTGATGGTACAAACATCTGATAATCGTCTTCATCGTCTTCATTCTCGTAAGGTGGACGTCGGCTAGGAAACAATGCCTGCCTAATTTGATGGTCAGTCCAGATGTTTCTCACAGAGGTAGTTCCCCCCAGGATATTCATGATCAGCGAGTTGGTCTGGGGTGTGCTGAATTGTCTAGGCAACTGTGACTGCCTAGCTGAGCAGGAAAATGGAAGATCAGCACTCAATTGGGTGGACTCTTCATCTGAAGGATCTTTGGAGCTCTGTGGAGATTTGAAATATGCAGTATGAATGAATAAATTAGTCTATTCCCTGCAATAATACAGAGATTCCCTCCATTCACAGGACTGCCCTGCAGCATGAATTCAGGTGGAGATGGGTAGGGCAAGCACACTCCTTGCTAGAGAGCCAGGCAACCACAGTGGCAATGCCAGACTACTTTGCCTCCTAATCCTTATCCTGGCTCACAGTTCACTGTTGGCATTTAATATTGCCTTACTTCAAATACAAGATACCAGGACATGCTAAAGCATAAGTAATTAAAGGCAAATTTATTTGGCAGGGGTTAGATTAAACCTTTTATGCTAGCTCTGCAGTTTCACAATTAGATAAAGTTAATCTGACTCTGGGCTTGTGCCAAAAGTTCTGTTCTCCTCCCTTTCCTATTACCTATAACCCTAGCAGAAAGGTATGTTATGCTCTCTAGTACATGCCACTAAAAATTTTTCAATTTTTTTTTTTGGAGTGAATGTTCATCCAGCTCAGCTAGCAGATCTAATTTACAGCAAGGTCACATCCCTGCTAATGCTAATATGAAGGATGCTGTAGGTGTACCTGGGGGAGACAGAAGATTACTTCTTTTGGTTTAAGTTAATGCTGACTGTTTGATTTTTTTTTTCCTGCCCCTGAAAGAATTCTCTTTGAAGTCCACACAGATGAATATTAATACATGAAAAACACAACATGACTTACCTGTCTACCTAGACAAAAAAAACCGCAGATTTGACATATCTATGATGCCTAGCAAAACAGAGGTAAAATATATATACATACCTGCATTTCACACTTGTTGAGATTAACACTTCTCCGTTTTTCAACATTTTCAGCAGCTTGACTATTAAGTCTTTTCCTTCCTCCTTTTGATTTCTGTAGTGAATTCTGTTGCATTCCCTGTGATTTAAAAGAAGGGAGCAAGGTAGGGCTATTAAAATCCAGTACTTTTTACAGTGTTATTTAAAATAATTACTAAGCAGCTAGAATAGCAGAGCCAGGTCAGGTATCCATAGCTGAAGGATGCAATGCTCATTAGTACACAGAAATATTTCAGAGTCAAGAAAACTTTCTTTTCAATAACTAGTTAAATTAAGTTAATTTGCACAGCTTGACAAAAGGGGATGAAAACAGAATGTGTGTACAATAACACAGGTGTAGAATACACATGAATTGGACTAGGAAAAGCAAAATAAAATATTTATAAAAATAAAAATCTTTGTAAGGAGAATAAGTTGCAGATGCATGCCTCCTTGAAGTTTTGCAGATACTTTTAATCCCTCTTCCATCCTCCCCAGAACAAAAGGATTTTTTCCCCCCTCTTTTTCCTACCTGTTCAGCTTCTTCTTCATCATCAGCATCAATCTGTTCCACAGCAGGAGTCTGGAGATTTTCATCCTGATCACTGCTGTAGGCTGGCTCAATGGACTCTTGAAATTGGCTCTCTAGCCCACTGGGTTCCAATGAAACCTTCTTCCTAGAATTCAGCAGGGTTTCATTTGATCCTAGTTTGGTGGCTTGAGATAATAGGGCTCCTTCTATACCAATCCGCTGGAAAAAAATAAAAGTACTGACTAAGAGTCTATATATTGTAGTATGACACTGTCTTATATCGTACTTATCAACCATGTTTTAGCAACATTCAGTTTGCTACACTGAAATGGATGCACATGCAAAGAATTAAAACAATTTGTATTTTTCCATAGAATGTTAGGAATGGAAAAAAATGCAAAAAAAAAAAAAAAAAAAAAAAAAACACACACACAAAAAACAATAATGTAATGATGGACTTCAGTTTTATGGCATCCCAGTGAAGTCATATCTAATGTACCCTGTTAATAAACCTAACTCCTAGCTCCTAAGCTCTGTCCCAAATAAGCCTAGGACCTGGAATTCAACAGGAGACTTTCAAACTGCACTGGAACTTTATAACAAATTCTTACAAAAACGTATAAATGAAAAACACTCTTTTCCATCTGTTCAAGCTGTATTCACTCTGTTCAAATGTTATGATTTATATATAGCATAGATATCATATCAGAAGAAGCTCAACATCTTTTTTTCATTTAATATAGGCACAACATCCTGCAAAGAACAGACACTATCTTTACACACAGCATTTCTGTGATTATAGTGGTATTTACAAGTACCCCATAACAGTAGCATTTGATTGGGCTGTACTTAAAAAGTACAAGAATTTATGTATCAGACAATTTTTGGCTTCTAGATATTCCTGAAATACCTAGCTGTATTTCTGTTTCTTTCATTCCAATAATCTTATTGGAGATACTAAACAACATTATGGTTTTGTTTCTTTCTTAAAATGAACATAACCAAGAAGATGTGGATTCTACAGCAAATACATTCCTCTAAGTTATATGCTACTTGAATGTGCTAAAACAAGAAATGTCTTACCTTCTGCATATCTGGACTTATATCTGAAAAGAGAAATACAATAATTCATCATTAAGAGCATAAACAAACTGGTGTGAGTCTACGTCACTGGCTTAACACTACACAATTATGAATTCCCAAAAAGGGATAAAATGCAACAGCAATATTCACTTGAAGGTCTCTAAAACAGAGACAACAGCAGTTTTCTTATGACAGTTCCACCTCATGTCCTAATATCACAACAAAGATCCAATATGGACAACTACTCACAGTGACTGACTCCTGGTATTCAATTACCAGTTGCCAAGACAATTACGGGACCAGAACCCACACGTGGAAAAGCAAACATTAAATTTCAACACTAACAGTTTGTTTTCTTTGCCCACTTTCTCCCTCCCCCCTCCCAAAGGTGTATTTGAGGAAAGTTACAGGACCAAAGGATCCATTTTTACTTGTTCTACAAAATACAGAAACACTGGGTCATGAAATCAGTATAGAAAGTAGCTTACCATTTGACTTCAAAACTTTATGGACTCTCGATGAGGGTTCTGAAAAAGACAACAACATGTTTAAGCACTCCAGCATCCCAAAGGAAGTTGTGGGTATCTTTTTATAACATGGATACTAAAATTTAATCTTCTGGTCCCATGCAAGAAAGGCAGATTTTCTGATCTTAATCACTTAGCTAACTCACGCTCTTGGGGAAAAAAAAAAAAAAAAAAAAAAATGGATACATTGCAATGTGAAACCTACAGCTGCTACCAAAGTACTTACATGTTCCTAATGCTATAGCACCTGCTTTCCACACATGTAAAGTTTAAAGTAAATAATCCACACACGTGAAGTTTAAAGCCGTGTTAAGCTTCCTGCTTTTTAAAGACTTAGTCCTCATCTATGCTATTGCTCTAAATTGCTGGAGATTTCCTATATTCAAATTAGAAATATGTCTGAGGTACTGAGAAATATGTTTGAGGCACTTCAAGCAGTACTTTGAAAGTATAAGTAGCTGAATGTTACACAGAATTTCATTCAATCGGTATTTTGAATTATTACTTTTATAGGCAAAACAACATCCATGGAATTTTTTACCTCAGAAACAAAGGAAGATGCCTGAGAAGTAATTAAAATTTGTTTTTTGTTGGGTTTTTTTTGGACACGTGTGGTGCTATACAATGCATTACTATATCAGTACTCTCATGAACCTTGTTTAGTCATTCCAATACACAATGTTACACATTCCAAGTTGGAAAGGTCTTTAAGCAGTTGATCACAGTGACTGCGATATGAAGTCACCCAACTACACAGACATTTGTAATGGTTTCAGGAGCAAACTAACAGTAATTACGGATGTATGTTTGAACTAGGAGAAAGAAAAGCAAAAATCAACATGACCATCTCTCAAATCTCTATTATGCGTAAGGCAGACATTACAGTAAGTAAAGGTAGTAATTATATTTTGAAATAACAAGCCTATCATAATCGGGATGGAACCACTTCTGAGACAGTAACTACTCAGGGGTGAGGGCAAGAAAGGTCAGACAAATAATGTGACTGGCTTTCCAGCATATGCATTCTTCTGTCCATTAGGAAGTATCACTTGTTCTTTATGCATCCACCATTAGGAATGCATGTATTCATGAAATGAAATGCAAGTGGTGGATAAACAAAATAAATCACACAAGCAACAAATGCTTAATAAGATCTTCCACTTGTGTATCAGAGTTACTGTGCTCTGTAAAATCTCAGTGGAATGCAAGCTAAAGACCAGTTCCATGTGCCCAGTCTCAAACAACGCTAAATACTCCTGCTTGCCTTTCCTCATCATCTTTATGGTAAATGAGTTCATTCACCTGATTTCCTCCTCACTCTTTGTTGAGTAGTGCCTTCTTTAGGCTGGTATGATGATTTCATTTCTCCCTCGGGGCTATAATGAAACCCTGGGTGATCTGTGGAATAAGCAGAGGTAAAATAGTGTTACTTCACACTTCTCAGCAGCTCTTTGGAGGCAGTGCCATCTTCTCTTTGTGATTCACCCAATGGCACTTCACCAGAGCTTGAAGCAAAACATGTGAGGTATTCAACTTAATCATCTACCCATAAAAACATTTTACCCGTTTAGTTGTGCCTTGCTCCAGATTGCTAACCCAGCAATACTGATGGCACGAGCATCATGTTTAATTGTTTGCCAGTGTCTCAGTCTAAGCCTTCCTGACCCATTCTCCACAGGAATAACTACATAAATAAATGACAATTCTGCTTTACTCCAAGACTTCCTCAGCATTTATATCTAAGACTATTGTTTCATTTCCCTACACTGCCAGGGATCACTGGCAACGTGAAGAGCTAACATAGTTTGCACCAGGAGAGGCAGCAAACAAGAGATGCAGCAGAAAGAACAGCACAGATGGGGCTGGATTTGGAACACAAGGCAGCAGCAGCCGCATGCATGCTCCCTAAACCTGGCTCCTGGGACAGGCCAGGTAAATAAACTTTTCAGTCAAACCTATGGAAAGAACAAGCCTGCTGGGTTCCAGCAAGAAGTTTTCTTGGCGTGGTACCATGGGTGCATTTGGTTTCTGCCACAGCCACAAGTCCAGCCGTAGACAGAGGACAGCCAGCCATGCTGCTTCTGTAGGGCACTGGGCTCCCTTGCTGGGCTTCCAGATTATCTGCACTGTGCACCAAACAGCTGCCAGCTGCCCTCACAATCCTCCAGCTCCAGTTTTGCCAGCATAAGGAAGTCATATCAGAGCTATATACTTCAGGCTCCGTTTGCTTATTCCTAGCCTTTCAGTGGGTCCTAGCCAGGAGTCTATGCTATAAAAGCAGGAAAGATCATGCATTTAATCAGCATGGAATAAGCAAAACAAAATGACCAATATTTACAGAAGGTCTAATCTGCCTCTTCCTTGCTAATCATGAGACAGAATTTGCTGGCTGTGGATCCATCAACTCAATGCCTACAGAGTTCCATGGGATCTGCATGCTTTTGTTTTTTTTCAGTAAGGTCATAATTCAAGGAGCGTAAGCATGGCTTTCTCTCATTTCAGATGAAACCAACAGTCAAAGCCAAACTTTTGAAGACACTTTTGTTCTTTTTTTTTTTTTAAATGAAAGTGAAAAATAACTTACGTATGGCATCCATTTCCAGAATTGCCTGTTTGGCCTGAAAGCACCATTAAAAAAAAAAAGTTAAACTTTAAATAGGACAAATTATGTTGCATATTACAGATAGTTGTGAATTTACATGCAGACAACATCAAGTTTAATTTTTAGCTATTAAATATTGCTAGCATTGTTATTCTATCTCTTTCTCTGTATGCTGCATACGTTACATATGTGAAGAAGAATTCTCCTGGCAGGAGCTTCCCATAGTTTATCTTCAGAGCACCACACAAAAGCCTTTTGCTCACTGCACACCACAGCTCTGTCTTGCTCATCTACCACTCTGGCAGTGCAAGAGGAGGAGCACGTACCTACAGCATCAACTGGGATAAGGAACTTCTGGGGGATGTAGTGATGCACATCTGACACTGAAAACTATACTGGTATCACCCACATCAGCTCATGCTGCACACGTTCTGAACACTCTGGCTCTTCTCCATGGGGACACATACCCCAAGGACCTGTCAACATGCCCCAGAATTTAGAGCCATTGATACACCACTCCATATGCTGCTGGGAGTGGCAAAAAAACTAGCCCTAACATCTAGGAATCACAAATATTTCCTTTTTTTTTTTTTTTTTGGTGATACATGAAACATTTCCTCCCTAAAAATAAAATAATTTAACTTTACTATTTTTTTTATCCTTTACTATTTTTGCAGTTCTGATGTTGTTGGCACAGAGAACACTACCAACCCTTCTTCCTTTAAGTGTTTCCTTGACGAACTGCTATTAAAAAAATCATCATTTTGTTTAAGTAAGATGAAAAAAGATAAACAGCTAATATCTCATGATTGCTTAAAACTTGACACATTTCTTTAGGAAAAATAAGCAGGATGTTTTACCAAGTTTATCAGATAATAAGAAAGAAAATAAACCAAAACGTAATACCCAGATAACCTGCTTGACCCTCTATGGGTGCAATTCCGTGATTTTCCACGAGGTGTCACAAGTGGACTAATATTAAATCCCCCCCAATAGCTGGACAGAGGGAAGTCTCTTCTGTGCAAGCACAGATTTATCAAAAGATATGTGCAGACAACCTCAAAGACTTATTTGGTTAAACTTTTCCTCAAATAAAATTATTTCTAAGAGCTGAAAATGGCCTTATGGTGTATTTTGGCGATACTTTTTTCCACAGATAAAATAAAAATCCATCCAGAAAGAATAATCTTGATACAAAAGCTGAAGTCATGCTGAAACATTTTTTACAATCTAACAAACTGCAACAAGTATTCACATTGTAAGCATGGATACCAGCATAAACATTATACCTTCCATAAACTCTGTCAACAAAAAAATATGAGAAGAATTACTAAGAGCAACTGCTAGGACTGCTTTATCCTATAACTCTCTTTGTGTTGAGTCGTTGAAAACATTAGTTAATGCATCTCTTGTGTATGTTAGTCACTTTTTTACTCACTACAGCATAAAAATCATTGAAATGATTTAAATACTTTAAAAAAAAAAAAAGGAAGACGAGCAGTATAACTCTGTGTAAAAAAAAAAAAATCAACAGAAAAAATCCAAGTTACATTGGGAAACATCACCTAAAGGTCTAAAACAGGATTTCATAAATAAAAGGACCAGATTTCCCTACTTGTAGGCATTAGAGCTATGAATATGGTATCAACAGGTATCTGACAACTGTGATGAAATGTAGAACTGTGCCTCATTTTCTCTGGCATAAAGCTTTCGAGCTGTCTCACAAAAAATAAAAATAAAAATGGCCCAAGCATCCCAACTAAGGATGCGGGGTTCGGGATGGGTATTTGTATTTGTAAAGTGAAGTGTGTGTTGCAAATGCTTTCATTGCTGTGGTATCTAGCCAAAACAGATTAAAACTAGCTTGGTAATGTCTACACATGCTGCAATTAGCACACCTCAGTGTTGTGCAGACAGGCAGTTTCAAGCCAAGGAATGCTCCTCCAGTAGAGCTTTCTGATGCTGCATCTCTGTTACTCACATCCTAGTGGGCAAATCCTAATGTGGACAGCAATGTTGCTAATCCAGTTAAATTCTTCTACTCCTATACCAAGCCCAGTATATGCATTTAGTGGAATTTTCCCACTGATTCTTAGGAACTTTTAAAGATGTAAGAAATAATATATTAATATCTTGGAGTCTAAACTTTCTCTAAATTGTAATGCATTTTGCAGCTAACAAGATTGCCCTAAGTTACATGCACATTCAAAGAGCAGGGCTTCATTTATTTATTTACCTTGGCAGGAATCTTAGCAGGATGATTTTCCAGAATTAACCTCTTCAAATGAAGAATCCAAAGCCGTTTGTCTTGCTGAGATTTTGCCTGATAAAAATAAAAATCAGCACTATGAGAAATAGCCTTACTGCATTATGCAGGGTCAGGAATAGCATATGGTCATCAATCAAGCTATCCAGTGGGCAAGGATTTTTCTGTCATACCTGGACAGTATGTTGCATCTTGGGATTTTTGTAGTGGAAGACACTAAAGCTGAGTGGCTCCTTTGGTATCACTTCAACAAGCATAAGATTCCCACACTGTAATAAAGAGAGGCAGCACTGTGAACTATGGAGTAATTTCAGGGAAATCTAGAGCCAGCACATTGCCGTTTGCTCTCTGACATACCAATATGTGAGCTTTGTATGCAAACATTTCATCCCTCTTTTTCGTGATTAGCAGCAGCTTGTCAAAGAGAAACAACGTGCGCTCATTTTTGGCTCGCTGAATGCGGAACGTTCCCTCTAGAACCAGCTCCCCATAACTGGTAAGATCGGGTCCTTTCCAGTTGGTGAGCAAGCTCTGTATCTCCTGCAACAGATCAAAGAAGAACAACCAGAGTTCATGTCAGAGGTCTTACTTAAATAAAGATTCAAAGGATAATCTGCTGAGGCCATTCCAGCTCTCCCATATAACATTCAACAGTGCAAAGCCACCGGTACTGAGGTTGTTGGGTTACGTGCACATCATAGCCAGGTGCTTCCAGACTTGATGCTAAGCCCAGACTAAAGCATGGCCTCCTGAGTACTGGTGGCCTCTGTGGGGACACAGCAAAGAGCCCTGAGCTCCCCAGAGCTGCCAGCGGTAAAACAGCTCAACCCCATCTCCTGGGACTCACTGTGGAGGATGGACTGTAATGCAGTCACCAGTCTCTCTCACGTCTGCTTCTCTCCCCTGCCTATGTCCATAAACCCTATGAATGTTTGTTTCTTGCCCTACAATATTCTCTTGAAGCTGCGTGGTCCCCAGCTGGATGAATTATAATGCCTTCTCTGTGTCTTGTAGGCGCATCCCAGAAGACGCCTCCGTGAGGAGTTCAGACTGTAGAGATGTTTCTCAGAAGACTAAAGGACCAGAAGTGGTTTGGTCAACTGATCATTTGAAGATGCCAAGATTTATATGCATTTGGAGTGATTTGTATACATTCCATAGATATTTCTCACCTTATTTATCACTTACAAAAAAAATAATAATAAAAATGGAGAAACATCTAAGAACATCCTCAAAAAATCTGTGCTACTTTGCTATGACTATCTTGTTTCCTTTAGTTGTTCATTTTTTTCTGTCCGTGGCACAGACAGGATTTAAGCAGGGTAAAGCAAACTAAAAGCAAACTCAACCTTAAGCAGGAAAACTTTAAAAACATCCATTGAGCTTTAACCTGGGCAACATTAGCAAAGCAGGGACAGATTTACTCATCCTAGGCTGATCTCAGTAGAACACTGCACTGTAATATAGCATTCAGCTATAAAACTTCTTGGTACTTTTGAGCCCAAAGGCAGCCTAGAGCACGTGCAGGAAGAAAAAACAATGCATATAGCAGCACACTTTGGACTATATGCAAGGCTGTTTTAAAACCCAGTATATAACAAATGAAAAAAAGGTCTATTTTATCAGGTCCCTTAAGGAACTTGTAAATAAGTCAGGGTACAGCCACAGCCATCAGTTTCACCAGTGTTAAGGGAGAGTTGGTGCTGGAATCACTGCTGCAGTACTTGCTAAACTACAGACAGAATGGCAGTGTGATAGCTCACTGAAGACCTATCCCTATGGCTACAGAAACAGATTTTACTTGTATAAAGGGTAACCATGAACATAAACATTTTCCACAACCCCATACATTTGCCAGCTCAGCTTAATAAATTAAAAAAATACACTTTTCCAAATGCATTTAGCCCTCTTTATTGCCAAATATTACTGGTTATCATTATTCAGATTTACAGCACACTGTTTGTAGAAGTCATTAGCATGCATTTCCAGCAATGTGTGGCAAAGGTTACACTGCTGCAGGCAAGGCATTATCAAATGTAACCCTATTCCCCGTATATATAAACAAAAAAATGAGAGCCAATAAGCACAGTTTATGTTAAAAAGACATAAAGGAATAAAAGAATAACATTAGACAGATTTCTGGAACCTATTAAACTCTTCTATTAACTAAAAAAAAATATTAAAGCTATATAGATACTGCTGACAAAAGTGTAATGTAAAATGGTGATTCACTGGCATGTTTGAAACAGAATGATATATCTGTAAAAAGTCTACCAAATAGCTTACTCTTGACAACAGAAGTTATTCTGGGTTGCTTTTTTTCTCCTAAAAATTCTTCACTCAAAGTGAAGTTAACCCTTTTCTAACTATCATATTTCTAGGTTTATACTTTTCACATACACCAAACAAAAATTAAAAAAAAAAAAGAGAAAAAAAAGAAAAAAAAGAAAAAAAAGATAAGCCTTCAGAAGCCCAAGAGGAAAGTACTTAAACAAGAAGAAGAGCAAGAAATATCTTAAAACAAAATTAATCAGCACAAAAGGAAGAAATCGGAAACCACAGGATTTCTGAACAAAGGCTTGCCCTAGGGTTGTACAGCACTGCTGTACAATTGAGGGAAAGGAAGAAAGAAAAGTTATCTCAAGTTCCATATTACTGCAAAATAAATGCTTTACAGGATGCTGCTTGCAGAGATTTCTGAGATTTTCCTGCAGCAGCTATGACCATGGTTTCCAAGATCAAACAGCCAAAGGCACACTCAACAGGACTCTAAATTATGACTGACAAAGATAAGAAGAGAAGATAACTGAAAAATGCTAACGGCGTATCTGTTGACAAAAACAGCTTACACCAATAAAATATTTTTGGGAACTCACCTGAAGCCTGATGGCATGTTCATGTTTCCTCTTCATGTCATTTATGTGCCACGCCACTCTCTGCATCGTATCTATGGCATCTAGCACCACATCATAGCCCTCAGTGTCCTTGTCAAGGTGGTTTTCTATTTCCTAAGACAAAGGAAAAAGAACAAAATCCCATTATTTTTAAATGAATTTTCCAGCCTGATATAATACTGACTATGCTTTTATCTGTACTATTTTGTCTTTCTGTTGCAGTCTCCCAAATACAATGCTTCTGCCCTTGCTATTGCATGTTGTTATCTAATTGACTAACACAAGATGACTAGCAATGTAAAGCCTTTAGTAGCAGCAGTTTAGCAGCAACTGTACTTTCAGCAGCTGCTGCAAACACAGAGGCACAGAAAGGCAACACAGCTTACTTACAGGAAGAGACCTTTTCAGACAGTGCTTACTGGCTTTCTTAAAACACAGGATGTATCTACACGCTTACAAAATACTGAGGGAATTACACTAGGCATTGCTTTACACTTGGAGAGAAGAAAAGCACCAGACATTTTAAATAAGGATCAGTGTCTTTACACTTCACTAGAACATGACTCTGTAATATGAAACATATGTGGAAACATTAACAATAAAGCAAGAATTTCCGAAACTTGCTTAATTCAATTCTCTGAATATGGAAAGAGTTCCCACTTCCTCAATCATTCCTCTCCACAAAAATCTTACCAATCAGGGGTGTTTATATGTATTTATTCCATCTTTCAGCCACCCCCAGCATTGTAACGTGGAAAAATACCGTTGTTCAATGGAACAATAAATTCTGGTACAAAACTGTTTACTCATGACAAGAATCTTCCATACAACTTCAGAATTACAGACAACTCAAAAAGAAATATAATTATTTGAATGCACAGACTGATTCAATGCGTCTAAAACAATTACCATACATTCCCCACTCAAAACATATTCATATGTATTATGAAGTGACGAAGACAGAAAGTCTCCATATGTAAATATCAAACACTCCCAAAAGAGTGTCTAAAGAAACCCAGAACTGTTCTAACCATCAGGTCTTGTATCAGAGGCAGGAACATCAAAGCGTAGCAGCCCTAGCTGGGATATATATTTTAGTGGGTGCTTACGTGCAAAAGTAGGTGGTACTTGAGGATTCGCTGGACAGGTTTCAAGAGATAGGAGCCCAGAGGCAAAGAATGCTGCAGTGCTTCTTGCCGTTCTCTGAAGAACTTGGCCAATGTCTTGTTCCTCATGCATTCTGTCAACACGGCTACTGACCTGAAAACACAACGTGTTTAAGTATCTCCATAAGTTGTAGGTAAAGCCAATAATAGTTTCTTTCCTTCCTTGCAAAAAGGGGACAACAGGTTCCTAATCCAATCACTGCTTTTTCTTGTTATCTTGTGCATTGGGCTATGTTTTCTTCTGACTTGCAGCCATTCTCTTTACACTAGGAATTACACATTTGAAGCAATACAGAATAAGACCATCATTTTCTAATGAGGATAATAGCAAAGAATGACAAGATCAAAGTAAAACTTCAGATAAGCATCTTTCATTTTTTGTTTTTCGAGTTTAAAACAACAACAAAATAATCCTTTTCCCTCCCTCCAATTTGTAAGAGGGAAAAAATATATGTATATATATATTTACTTTTTTAGATTGTAACTTGTATTATATGAACAGGCCAAGGGACAAATGAAGAAAGGGAACCCAAAATTCCTACCTTGGGTAGTTGGTGCAGTACTGTGTATATATGTGGAAATCTTCACTCTGCATGGATAAGAAAGATTTATATATGTTCAGATTTTGTTAAACTAGCAACTAACACACATGTGAGACAAAGACGATGACATCAAGGCAACATATTCTCCAGTTCCTGATCAATGAATTCCCCACTCTCACAGTGATAGTCTTAAAGCTAACATAGATCGACTTATGTAATTTCACTTTTTGGGGAATTTTCCTTAACTTTTGTAGAAAAAAAATACACAGAGAAAAAGTAAGTGGATTGCAACAGAGCCTCCAAGGTCCTTTATGACAACCTATAAACCTTTTAAAAACTATACACCCCCCCTTCAAACAACTGACTTGCATGCACCTAGTTTTGTATGTGCTCATGCACACACCTGCAGAATTAAGTTTTGTGGAATATGTTCACTGCAATTTTCTAATAGCTATGAATACTTTCACATTTGAGCGCAATCTAAGTATGAAAATTAGATGCCACAAACTTTTTTTTTTTTGAAAGCAAATTATGACTCTGTGCAAGCAGAAAGTGATTACCAAAACAAGTTTTAATTAGATTTAGGTGGGATTCCACGCTTGCATGTCACTGTGAAATTGCTAACTTAATGCTGACAAGCCTCTCAGAGGAAGAGCCTGAGTTTCCTTTCTTTCTTCCTTGGCAGAAGATTCTTTCTTAATCATCATAATTTAATTCCGTGCAAGAACAAGTCTCCAGAAATGTCCCCATATGCTTTAAGTTCAAATCTGCCTATCAACTTATATCCCAAATAATGCTCAATTTCTGCAGCTCGTCAGAGTTGTAAAGACTAGGAAAGCACTGCAGAACTGCAAAGTGTTCCTAAAATCAATGACTTTTCTGAGCCCTAGTGCAATATAAAGCAATCGTTTGGTGGTAAACAAGACATGCTTCCCTGTGAAGCATTGTCAAAGCGTGCTCTGACCCGCTACCCCACAACAGCTGTGCCCCACAAGGGGCACCCGCTCAGCGGTGGTAGCTCATTTGGTAGCAAGACCAAAGAGCCAGAGCGCAGTGCTCTGCGGAGCAACAGCACAGGGGGAGAGGGCCGATGCGGGCTGAGCCTTTTGTTTCTTATTGTTGGGTTGATTTTTTATTTATTTTTTTGGCTATTCATCAGAAAAAGCCAGCTGAGGCAGTGCCCTTCCCCCTTTCCAATGGTGCTGTTCCCTTCCCCCTCTCCCTTGTACATCAGACCATGCCATTCATTTTCCCAATGAGCAGCAATTCAAAAGGACCACATAAAAAGAAAGCTGCTACTCAACCTCAGTGTAAGTCACTGCAATTAATTTCAGTATTTCTTACAGGATTTCCATACTAACTGTTTTGAAAAAATAAATCTAGCAAACTTCTTGCATGCTGCAAACCTCTATTACTTTAAGATGCTCTTATCTTAGACAGCAACCACTCTACATTTAGTCTTAATACAATACAGTTCAGTGATTTAGCTTTCACGCCTGGACTAATTCTGCTGTCACAGCCGGTTTTTGTGGTGGTTTACATACGCCCAGTGTCCACACCCAAAGACAACGAGCTTCTGCCACAAACTATTAGTGTTCCCGCTTGGAACTTGCAGCAACAGCTACAAACCATCCCAACACAAAGCTAAGCATTAGCAAACCTCAGTGTGTTGCGCACATCACACTGTCATTTTCTTCAGCAGTCATTCCTAAGCCAGCAAGCACTCATAGCAAGTTAGGGTGCTTATGAGAGAGCATCGTGATGAAATTCAGGGTCATAGAAAAAGGTGATTTATTTTATATCTGCATATATTAATACGAGGTTTTAATTTAGGGGCTTTCTGATGTAAATTGTAACACATTCCCATGGCTACAATCATGGAATAATGCAATTTATAGAATGACTTCACAAGCAAAGTGCAGACCATTTTTTTGACAGTTATTTATATGTGTATACCACTCATATACAATCACTTGACTGTTCTGCTTTTCAAACAAAAAGAAGAATATGTGTTGTGAAATTTCAGCAAATGAAGCATTATCTGTAAAACAAACACAACCAAATTTTCAGGGTTTTGGAATGGATTAATGCACATTCCCCACAAAATCAATAGCAAGTCCAAAATCCCCAGAAGCTTTTTCACACTCTTCCACTTTTTTCATTTTGTTTTATACATGATGTCAAAACTATTTTCAGTGGATTTTTTGGCTTTAAAAGAGCTTTAGTCTAGTTATTATCTGGAACAAGTCTGTATACCAAAAAATAAAATAAAATAAAAAATTAGTTCCTCATGCCCTCAATACCTCTAAAAATTTTAAAATGGTTTCACAATCACCCCTGCTTTCTGATGGGAGTTTATTCCAAATTTCATACTGAACTTCTATGTGCACTTACTTCATTTCACCACAGCTCATTTCATCACACAAAACCATTAGATAGCATTTACTTTCATTGAGCCATGTGCCAGTAGAAGGTCAGTTATATGTATTTTGTCTCCAGAATGAGATTGTTGATGCTCGCTCAGACTTAAGCTGGTACGAATCAACAACATATACCTTGCTTAGGCATCAGCAGTAGTCGTGTGAACACATTGGGAGGGTGGCCAACAGAGCCGCAGATTTCCATTTCACAGTATGTAAAGAAACATGATCTCTTAGAAATGCTGATCAGGTAGAAACGAAACGGGTATTTTCTGTAAACTTTTGCAGATTTGTTCTCAAATACATCTCAGTTACACAATTTAGAAGTTAACCTGTTCCTTCTCCACCACAATCAAAGAAGGTTGTTACTTGATAATAAATCCATCCCACTGATCTAAAACATACCCCATAATCTCTCCCCGCCACCACCACATAACCACAACCTCCTCCTAAGGCTGAGGAAGGAAGCCTGAGGAAAGAGTCAAGATATCTGTGCTCCCATGGACTGCCTGGTTACCTCGCACCTCTGCCACCTTGAGAGAAGGGACTACAAGTTCACGTGCACAGCTGATCCTACCCTACTTTACAGCAGGCTTCCCAGAGAGAGTGCTGTATTACTGTGGGGCATATCGGGGCAGACACCATGCAGGCTAAAGCCAATGCTGTGAACTATGTTCAGAAGCAAACTAAAAGCCAGGGCTAAAATGGATTTAATATATTTCAATCAATATTTTCACACCACAAGTTAAATAGTAGCTATGCTCATCGGTATTTCTTTAGATGCTCATGCTTCCTCAGCTTGAAAGCCATTACATTCACCTTAACTGCCTTCAAACCAGATTAAAAGTGATCTCTCAAGGGAGACTGGAATCATTCCAGAGATCATTTTTAATCTGGGGGCCAAAAGCTGTTACGGCAGAGGAAAAAAAAATAAATCTGAGACCAAAGCCAAGTTCATCAGCACTGACTACAAGTCACCCTGAAGAGCAAAGCCAAGCACAATAAGATCCCAGCTATACTTAGTTTGTCCCCTGCTGCTGAATCAATTCACTGTGTGTCTCCTACGCATGGAGCGAAGAGCCAAGCACATGGCTACAACCCTGATCTCTCAACTCTTGGTGCACTGTGCTTTTTTATAGCCATAAAAGGCACTTTAAAAGAAAATAGAGACTGAAAACATGAGCTGAGTGAGAGCGTAAGCTTAAGCCAATTGCCTGGATCTCCTCTTCATTAATGAGATGGGAGATTAGAGTAATTCTCCCTTTCCCCTTGGTTAAGCTGTTGGTTTGTCTTTCAGAAAACATATGTTCTAAATTTCTGGGGCGCTGAGTGAGAAGAGCGATGTGCCAGAATTAAGCTTTTCTTTTACAACTACTCACTTAAATGTAAACGTGTGGAATACCGAAGTCTATCTTCTAATTAACATTGGCATCATTACTATGAAAATTAAAGACTGAGTTGGCAAGAAAAAGTAAACAAACTTCTACGTGAATAATCAAGCTATAGCACTGGAGCCTTTTATCAGCCTCTGATTACAGATAGCGGCAAAACATCTCCAAGACATTTAAAACAGTTCTCCTACATGAAGAGGCAGGCCCAGGGCTGGTAGAATGGCACTATTACACCACGACCCTAAGTGACAAGTTATTTCAGAGCAGCAGGCCCCCCACACCATTTAAATAAAAACCCATTCATCCCCCCTCACTTCTTGAGGCAGATAGCTAAAACCAGCAAATCATGATCAGACAGCAAATTAAGAAAAGGTGTGCTTTTCTGCATTTGTATCTTTATTTCCCCATGGGTTATTAATGGATTTTAAAAACATTTGGAAGAACAGGGGCTTAGTATAATGTTGTAAGCAGTTGTTAAATATTTCTACTGTCAGATAACTTTGCATGGTTATTTTATCTGTTAGTGAGTTTTATGTTACTGGATGGTTTACAGTAAAGATGTCTTGATGAAGTTGTTAACGAGTAAAAGCTGCCACTTTAGGAGCTATTTACTTTGGGCACTCAACAGAATAAATGATAAAGACTCAAATCCACAATTGTGAGTCTTTGTTCAAAGTATGCTAATGTGAGTTGATAATCCTTACTGTTTTTCCCTCAGAAATAAAAGTTGCAAGGCTGTTTACTACTCAAACATGAATGCTATACGCAAGAAACAATGATATATGAATGCGTAAGGGAAACATGAAAAGCTATGCAACAAATTTTACTAAACAAAACCAACTAACAAATTCAAGTTCAAAGAAACAGTCCATTGTAAACAGTTCAAAACTAGACCTTACAAAACTAAGCTTACTAGATTTTTTCAAGAATAGCAAACATTTCAATAAGCTCCAGTTACTTTAACCATAACTATTCTATTATTCAGGCAAAACAAATTTTCACCATTTCACATGAGTCCTGAAGAAAGAAAAGGCTATTACTTCATTCAGTTACTGAGTTTCATGAAATGCAAAAAGCAAACATAGTACCTACAGTGAAAACTTGATTATGTGTTTAAATTCCTAACAACTAGGATATTCACAAGTGAATCAGTAGGGTGAAAAAAAATGGAGCCAGCATAACCCAAAGCACAGCTCCACTGAAAACACTAAAGAAGCTCCACTGGAGCTACATCCATTAGCTAAAGCCATGAGCTATGACTTTGGTATGAAATTATCCCCGTGTGTAAGTCACAGTGAAGATCTAGCACACTCAAAGTAATCAAACAATAAGTGGCTAAAGTCCCGTAAGACTTTAAGGACTGCATACTGCCAAAAAAGGATGTTTTGTTTCCACTACTCAATGCTGGGAAGATACGAGCAACCAAGAATGGACAACTGGAGTCTGTTAAGACAGTCACCAGTTACTGTAATGACATCTTCACAGCCAAAAACAGAACTGTGGGGTATTTTGGTATTGTTTGATTTTGCTTTTAAGTGTTTGCACTCGTCTGGATGAAGTTAAAAAATGTTCACTAGGATTGCAGTCTCCAGCAATTTCTGAGCCATCAGGCAGTTGCCTGCCAATAATACAAATGCTAAAAGCATTTGACAAGGGAACAAAAAAGCACAAGCAAGCAATGATACACAGATGGATTTTGGAACTAATGGCCAGAAAGTCTATCAGAAAACTACTTTCAGCTGGCCAATATCACTGAGGGAGCAACTTTTTCCTGGACTAGTTATTATCTCTTGCACCACCTCTGTTTCGTGTCTCAGCCAGTAGTAGTCCCAGATACAAGCATGCAATATGGCAGAACGATGTACGAACTCCAAATTCTGACATCTGTAAATATCATAAAGGCCTCGCAACTGGGTGTCAGCACAGGAACAACTTACATGACACACAAGGTATGACAATGGTGTCCACATTTTCTCTGTGGTAGAACCCACAGGAATAACTGGGACCCTCAGCTCTGGAACGACCCCCAAAATCAGCAGATCGTAGGATAATTTAGATTGGGTGGGAACTCTGAAAGTCATCTCATCCTTCCTCCTGCTCAGAGCAGGACCATTTAGATCACATTGCTCATCTTCTAGAGCTCTAAATATCTTTAAAGAAGGAGATGCTACAACCTCTCTGCAGTCCATTTGATGCTTGGCCACCTTCTTATGGCTAAACAACAAACCTGAAAATCATTAAAACAAACTGGAATTTCCCTTGTTGTAACTTGTGTCCACTACCCCTTATCCTATCGTTGCACTCCTTCCAAAATCAGTTGGACTTTGTCTTCTCTATATTTTCTTGTTAGGTAGACAGCAGTAGACATTTCTGCTCAGCTTTTTCTTGTTCAAGCTAAACAAATCTTGTTTTGTCAGCCTTAGTACACCATATTTTTCATTCTCCTGACCTGCTGGCTCACTCCAGTATGTCAATGTCTTTCTTGTACCAGAAGTCCAAAATTCATCACAGTATTCCTTATGTAGTCTTACAAGTGCTGCATAGAAGGGAAGAGAAGCAGGTTCTCTAAATCCGCTGACTACATTTTTGCTAATATATCCCAAGATGCTGTTGGCCTTCACTGCAATGGCATACCGCAGATACACTTGTGCTCCATGACCCCAGATCCTTTTCTGCTGAGTTGTTCACTGGGCAGCCAGAACCTGCCCACAGGTGGAGTTGTTCCATTTCAGGCATAAAGACTTTGCATTTGCCCTTACCACATTCTCCTTCAATTCGACATAGTTTGTTTGAAGTGATAACAACATGCCACAAGCCCGACTGCAATGTGGCAAAAATACATCCAACACTAGGTTCTTCCAGTGCTTACAAAAGATCAGCTGCTAGATAAATTTTTAAACACAGGACAGAGACATACCACTATTGTCTACCAAGAGAAATTCCTTTGTTTTCTGTTGATTTGCTAACTTTTCTTGGTTGAAATAAAAATTAGGTCTCGAAAGTAATTAATTTTACTTTCCCATATCATTCTGCAATAGGCGTTGTGCTGCAGATTCTTGCAGTAGCCTCTTACCTTGGAAACAAAACAGTCTGCTATAGCCACAGGATCATTTTCACAGTTTTCCAAATCTTGCAGAAGTTCACTAAAACAAAGAACAGAAAAATCCAAGACAATTATTGCACATCTCAGAATAGACACAGACGTATACCCTAGAGCCAGACACTTCCACTGTTCATGGCAGTGATACCCAAAGCACTTATGATGGAGGTAGTCCAAAAAAGGGTACTAGAAACCCTCTGGATCCCCTGCATAGACCTTCCATTTTCCAATGAACTGGACCACGTAAACAGACTTCTTTGTTTCTTTTCAGAATATAAATACACCATCTTATAAAACAGGGTCAAAACTGGACTGAGTCAAACATACAGTTCTGGTTCCTAACGCATAAAACACAACAGTATCTTAGCTCTGTTCAGTGCTACAGCCATTGCTCCTCTCCCATATAGATAAGACACTCAGATTTGGATGTCCACAGCTGCACAGTATCTCCACATGTACCAAACATATTTTTTTCTTATGCACAATCAAGCTGTTACCTGCACATGCACAGAAATTCCAGTTCTGGTACCACAACATGTGATCAAAATAAACAACTGCTTATCTTTTTTTGCCAATATGTTGAGCCACATTAATTGACTTTACATACGCTTTAATTGATTCTAACAAATGATGTCGCCATGGTAACTGCAGCACTGGAATACTCGCTCCTATCAAAAAACTAATAAAGTCAAGCGACCACAAAACTTTATGGTCTCTTCCTCCTAGGTATGAAGCCATGTAGAGAAGTTTTCTCTTTGGAGACAGATGAGCATGCTAGGAAAATGGTATTCCCACATACTTAAACATGCAAGTCACCACAATGACCATGGACTGCCAATCTATGCAAAGATGAGTGCCTTTCTCCAGAATGACTGCTCTTCTATGATACGCATAGTGGTGTACTCAGAGGGTTGTTTAGCTTGTACATCAGCTGACACAGTCAAACCAAACGAAATTTAAAACACACTGAAGCACATGCCCTGTCCTATAAAGATTTTGTATGTTCCAGTAGCTTGACGTGACTGAGGTGGATGAGGAGCTAGTCTGAAAAACACGGATGAGAAGCAGGAATGTGTTACATATACAAGAAGAACAGTAATAAGTTCACACAGGAAGATTTGTCTACCTTTAGTGGGTCTCTTCACCGAAGAAAAGTGGTGAGCCAGGAAAAAGTTTTCTGGAAGGGAATATATAAATTCTACATGCATAAAAATAAAACCTAACTGAGAGAATTTTATATTTTTGACATGCCAAGCAGGAAATTAATTCATTACAACAGGAGCAAAGCAATAATGGAGTATGTTCACTATCATATGAAATTCAGTTCTGGAAAGCCAATTCAGTGAAAGAAAGAGTTCAAGCAGCGGAAGAAAACCTCAAAGGTCTCTCATTGATCCTAATATTCTTTAGTCCTACTGAAAGATGTACTCAGAATACCAACAGGAAAAAAAAAAAAAAAAAAAAAGAATTTTCTTCCAAATGGTTCTCTGGGAGACCTTTTTTTCCTTCTCATCAGATGTTTTTTCGTTTAGTGCTACTTTTCTCCCAGTTCACAGCTGGTTCCCTGAATGAGTTTTGCATAAGAGTTGCTAAGCTTGTATCTAGGGAACTACCCTTTTCCCTTCTAAGCAGACACAATTTCCCTGTGTAAGTAAGAATGGGAGTAAAACAGAAAAATTTCCCGACTTATTCTTTGCTCCTGTAATTACTGGGGGAAGGAAGGGGAGAAATCAGTAATCAGTCACATTGAAAAAAAGACAGACAAAGAACTTAGGTTAGGCGGTCACTAAGGCACTCTGTATAGCAATAATTTAACCTCCACACCTCAGATTTTCCCTTCATTAAAATCAGAATAAAAATATGACCCTTGCTTGATAGCCCACATCGGTGAAGATCCTTTAAATCAGCAAAAGAAAGAAGCTGTAGCAATGCTGAGCATAACCATTAATTATAACGGCTGTTTCCACAAATGAGTTTTGGAAATAACATCAAATACACTGAACAAGCTCAGCGTATTCCTGTAAGTAGAGGTTCTCCTGATGGCTTAGAATACATTTAATTGCCATTTTGTTCCTACTGGTCTCCTTTAATACCATATTATTTTTCCTGCATGATACAGTAATATTGCATTTAAAGTTTTCATATATTCACGCAATGAGTCCAGGTTTATGCAGTAAATGTGTTGGTGTCTTGTGTCTTCAGCATAAGCACAAAATGTAAGGGTTGTGATTTGAATCATTTTGTTAGCTGTACTGCACTCTCTTCTGTCTCATCTGGCAGATGAGACAAAGAATGGGATTGGTAAAAGCAGCCTGCCACTGTGTAACAACAGCGAAATCTGTTATGCCCAGGAATCCTGAAAAACTTAAAGAAATCCCTATAATAACACACAGACGTGTGAAAGAGCGAGTTTATAATTATGCATTTAAACACCTGACAACAGAAGTAGTGGAGAGAAAGCAGAAGTTCCCTTCACCTGGGTATCCAGATGTTTTACACTTTCCACAGATAGTAATGGAGCTCTTAGCATCCATGGTTACTTAACGCCAATGGCCCAGGCAGGAAGGGAGCACAAGGAAGCACTGGGAGAAAATGTGATGCTCTTGCAGCTGAACTGCTGAACAAGACTCAAGCTGAAATACATCACGAATGCCAGTGCTCTTTAAAACCATGAACTAAATTATGCAGCTTGGGTTGTTATGGTCTGGAAAAATGTGATCATCATCAATAGCTAATGATAAGTCCATTGGGATGAGAGAGGTAAATGTAGAAAGACAATTTTTTATGAAATGAACTTGTTACCTTTACAAGTCAAATGAACATAAGTCTCATTACACTATCTTTTAGGATGTTCTGACATTTTGGAGCATGAATTATTTTCGAGACGAAACACTTAACTTCCCCTCTCAGTGGGTAAAGACTGTTAGGTCAGTATGAAGATGCTGACTACAGGAGGTGAAGAGGAATAAGTTAAATCCATTTACAGGTCTGTAGATAACTAATACTTGCACACAAACAAGTTACGCACTTTTTCATTTTATTCATTGTATCATCACCACACTACTTCAAAAAAGCCCCAGGATTTTTTCATCTTGTTCTTGATCTGAATTGGTGAAAAAGAAAGATGATAATGACAGGCATCTTGGATGGGCCAGCTTTGGTGGAATAGAAGGAACAGAAAGAGGCAGAAAGGGAACAGCATTATTTATCCTGCTGAAAATTTCACTCATGATGAAAAACAGTTGCAGTGTGCAGCTTAACCATAAATGCTAACGTATTATCAAAAAAAAATCATTATCATGATGCCTAACAACGTTCAAAGCTAAAAGGGACATAGCAAACACAATCTGGTCCTTTTGGTTGAATAATTTCATTATATAAAAATCTAGAAAATTTATCTGAAGAGTTCAGATTTTTACTAAAAAAAAAAAGATATAAATTATACTTGATATAATCACACAGCTACAAACATTTTGTGACAAAAACTAGTATCTCCACACTCAAAAAAACTCCTTTTCCTTTAAAGGCAAGCTCTTATAGGTTTTATGAAGGCTCTTCCCAACAAGAAGTCAACCACTGCCACCATGAAGCTCAGAGCAGAGGAACTGCTGAAGATGGCAGCTGTACAGAAGAGCCCTGCACAGCATCTGTGTGCTTCAGTAGTCACTGATGGACAAAGAGCGTCCATGATCTCTGTTGGCAGCAGAGGTTTCAGCTTGGCCTCTCTTAAGACCGGCTGAGTGTTGGTAGAAGTATGAACCTATGCATGTTTCACCACAGAATTCCCATTTCAGAATGAAGTCACGCTATTGCAAATATATCCCAAATCGTTGCTGGAAAGAATCTCAACAGGAGAGGCCAGAGAAGTAAGGCAGCAAATGCTGATTTAGAGGATGCTTCCCCCTTCCGAATAAATCAATAAATAGTGAGGGAGCTTTTTCCAACAGATGGAGAAGGACTGGTGGAATATGGTCAATAATTCTACTTTAAGAAACAGCTTTCCAAAAAGTGATCACAAAGGACTAGCAGTTAGCATCCTGACTATCATTTCTGCTATTCAATACAACACCTAAAAGTCATTTCAGTAAATGGCATTTCTCACATCTATACAGGCCACAGAAGCCCAAGATTAAAAAGTTTCATCACTGATTAATCGTCACATTCAGAGTTGAGAAAAACATGGTCATTCTGAAACTATGAAATCATTCTCACAAAAAGCATCTGAAACTACTAACTCAGAACTGCCAAGTGGAACTTATTCAAAGGTAAAAATAAACGAAGAGGCTATAGAGTATGTTCAGGACCCAGAAGCTACATGCCAAGTTTCACACAGGAGGGAACTTTATCCTTGAAGCTATATTAGGATCTACAGTGCGTGTTGGCTCTTAAAAAATCTCACAATTTCCATGTAGAATTTTGAATCGTGATGCCTGAAATACATTAGCAATTTACTAGAGGCTTTGGACAACTTTCCAGTGAGATTTAACCATTCTAACATATCTATCCCTCGGAGCTCCCAAATTATTATTATTACTTTTAAACCTTATTTTTTTTCTTTCTTTTAACCTCTGGAAATCCTTTTTTTCTCTCCCTCAAATCATTTATTCTGTATCATGATTAAAAAGGTACTTTTATTCAGTAATATTTGCAATGATGCCTATATAAGTGTGTCCCAACTACGTACCCTGCTATTTCTCTGTCTTTGAAGGATCAGAAAATACAATGGCCACGTCTGTTTGTTTTCTTTTTCCCACCCTGTGACTATTAAGAAGCTCACAGTCATTGTCTCATGGCTCTAAAACACAGGATCAGACTACCACTATGTATTTTCCATCATGTTAGATATTCAATCAAGTCAGAAGTTGTAGCTGAAGCAGGACTTAGCAGCTTTCCTGAAAGTGTATTTCCCATACTGTGCTGTAGATGCAAAATTCAGAAAAGGATTTTAGGTTTCAACTTTGTCCAACATTTCTAAGTAATCTACCTCCACTCTCCCCTTTGATTCTGAACAGTGATCCCCAGCAGCAGAAGCACTTTAAAATAGTTTCCCATGATGACAGAAAAATACTAAAGAAGCTCTTTGACAGGGGTTCTCCACTTCAGAATCCTCTTTTCATTTAAGGAAATTATTTGGTGTTCTTCAAAGATTACAACAGTTTGGGATATCTTTTGTCAACTACAGTAAGGCTAAGACATCTTTTACAGGAATAATGGGACATAGAAGACATGGGAACTTTATGCCATTAGGTTTGTTGCATTGATCGCATGTTCAGGTTTTCCTTAAATACTGAGTAAGATAATTATTTTTTATAACAGAGGATTCAGTCAAAAGTAGCAGTAGCATGCTCCTAAAACTGCAGATACTGCAGATCTCACACAATCTGGCATCAGCTATAGAAGCAAGAGAAATTTTACTTGAAGTTCCCATTATATGCTAGAATCCCATTTGCAGAGTTTCAGAGAAGGCTGTAAAGATACCTAACAGAAGTATTCAATACATAGCAAGGTACTTGAACACAGCTTTGATAAATTATTTCAGGGAGTGCCTAGCAGTTTAAAATGTTACAAAAGCCAGATATGTCAGTACTCCAAAGGACCTAATGTAATAGGGATACAATATTATCTGTTTATTGAGACTGAAGTTTAAATCATGGTGGTCTTGCACTAGGTTCAGCTGGAGCACGGAGCAGGTTAGGTTTATATTTATGGAAATACCCAGCATGAAAACAGAAGTAGTAAATGAAGACCACGCTTGATTCATTAAACCAGCAGCTACATAATCTGATCTCAGCAAACCAACCCAGTTGAGAATCAAAGAAATACCATTTCTCAATTTATATATCTTGGCTGTATTACAGTGATAAACTATTTACTTGGTTTGCTCCCTTCCCCATCAACACAGGCTGCTTCATTTAAACACTAATTTACCTGTTGAAATGGTAGATATCCCGTATGTTTCCAAACAAGGCTGATCTCTCTTCTGTCCCCAGGGACAGCTTGGATTGGTCAGTGATACAATCGAGGTAATCCTACAAGAGAAATGAGAATGATGCCTTTAGACATTTCCTCCTTTTCTAGGTCAGTAAATGGAGCTACCTTTTATTGTTCAAGATGAGTTCCTTCATATCAGTTTCACATTATTATTACAGTAAACCCTTCAGTAGCCTCTCTGTGAACAGTCATTCTATTATGAAAGGTAACAGTACTTACCTGTTCACTGAAACCAAGAAAATAACAGAAGACTGAATGCTAAGTTATAGTCCTTAGACTGGACAGCCAACATTTCTCTTGCTACTGATATACAAATGTTTTCAGATTTCATTCACAGTGACAGCTTAATTGATCATTTAACTGGCTCAGAGACAAAAAAAAATGTACAAAAAAATGTACAAAAAAAATGAAGAATGTCATTTAATAGTCTTAGTAACAGAAAACCTATATAATCAAGAACTGAAAACATAGGAACAACAAGGGCTCAGAAAAGCAAAAACTACCAAAAAAAAATCTTTTAAAACCGAAGCTGGAAAAAAACAAACACACACAACACAGAGTTTGTAGAGGACAGAAGATCCCAGAGTATATACACACATGCAATTTAACCACACGTAGTTACGTTGCAAACTACTGTGGTATATGTTTTAGCAAAGATTTTAGCAAATACTTTCACATTTACAAGAGTGTCTCATCCAATGACTTCAATTGAATAGGAACAAGAGAACTAGAAAAAAGATCAGGCCAGCATTGTTCTAGCAGAGCAACTTTCCCATTTCGCCCCCATTCTGATAAGAGCTCAGCTCCCAAAGCATCACCTTTCATTCCATTGCTGCTTCAGTGTTAAAATTTCCTCAGCTAAGGGCAAACAAATCCACTGGGCTTTTTAACTAACTTCAACTCATAAACCAAGAAACCCAATGTGCTGCCACATCCATGAAGAAATTCTGCTAGAGGATGGAAAACAATAAAAGAAAAGTGAAAACAGCTGAAACAATGTGAAATAAAAATAAATAAAATCCCTTAGCCTAGGGTTAGACAACATGGTGTGGCAACCCACCAAAAGCAACACAGCATTCCACTGCTCGGCAAGGAAGGAACCCTGTGAAACGTCAACTAGACCATGAAAACTTCTAAGATGCAACTGCATGCCAGAGTCATAAAGAAAAAAATATTACACAACACATGCACTGGACAAGATTCATTCTCCGAAAATCCAAAGACGACAAAGGGTTTGGATCAGACATTGATCTGACCTTTGGATTTTAGATGCTCTTGTTAGGATGGTTATGAATTACAGCACTCAAGTCTCTATCCCCATGTTCTTTGCAACTGAGATGGTGTAAGCAGAATCACAGGTCCTAGTCCAAACATTCAAAAATCCACATTTGGTATTTGGTTACCAAATTAAATCTACCCCTCATCACCACATCACCACCAAAAAAAAGAGTTGTTTTTTTTTTTTTTTTTTCCCCAACAGGAAGAAAACAAGCATATTCAAATGCAACTTCAGTGTCTTTAAGAACAACAACAAGCAGCAGTGGGCAAGCAAGTAGGCACGCCCCAGAAAGCCTTCTCATCTCTCCTGTGATGGACATCTGTACTGTACCTTCTTGCAGCCTCCTAGTTCCAGCCTGTCCTTGAAATGCATTTGTGCAGTAAGCCATTGGAATGGCATCCCTGGGACTGCCTGAATTTGTTTTCATTTCATTTATACTCAGATATTCATTTTAATAATATTCACTTATACTCAGACGCTGTAGATGAGTAAAAGGTTTGGGAATTCTGGTGAGGCAGGCCGGATTGCAGCATGTAGTATGCTAGCTCAAAGGCAGTAGATGATAGTTTCAGGGCTACTCCAGTGACAGCAATAAATAACTTTTTCTGTCCACTAATACAAATCTACATTTAACAGTGAAGAACAAAAGCTCCAGTGGAGCCATGATTCTCCGAAAACATTTGAGCATTGCAGGAGCACTGCAGCATCCTTAGCTGGTGTGGTGTGGTGTGTTACAGAGGAATGGAAATCTCACAGTAACTCCAACTCTCAAGTAACTCCACACAGCCTGTTTATTGAATAAAGAGGAGTTTCTTTCAAATTCCATCTCAGAATGGGTTTCTTAAAAACACAGTCCAGAGTCTTTTTTTTCCCCCAGTATTAAAGACAGTTTTAAAAGCATAACCTCCTATGTGCTCCTTTTGTCCTCCCATCCCATTTTTCTCCACATATGTACATGTATATTTTTCTCAGTCTTTTACCAACTTTTAGCAAGAAATAAGGAACCAGGCCCTTTCTAAGGCTCCTGCCAAGAAAAAGCCTGCAGGTGCTTTGGCAGTTTTCCAGCATTCCAGCAGCATGTGCCAGGATCAGGTTATCCCACGCACGCACAGCTTGTGCTCTCTGCTGCGAAAAGTTCCCCAAGACTGCACCTCTGGCCTCCATGTCCTCCCATCATCAGATCAGAAGCAAACTGGAAACAAATGGCTGGGTTTTTGCTTACTTAGGGTAAAGGGAGACCGTTCTTCATTAAAAATGCTCGGGTGCGAGGATGGCAGTTGCAGGCCCATCCTCACAAAGCGGTCTGACAAAGTCCGGGCACGCTGCAGCAGCAGCACGTGGCTTGCAGTGACACAGCAAGTGGGACCTTTCTGGTTATATTGCTTTATAGAGTACGTGTGCTCTCATAAAGTTTCATGAACTCATCCGGGAAACTGATGCAGTATCGGTGTATAGCCTTCTGCAAGGACAACAGCAGGAGCAGATCAAAGCTACCCCGCCATGGGGTTTTTCCTAATTATTTCTTAGCAAGTGGTACTTTACCCCCATGGTAGTCACTGCAACCTCCTGCAGCATATCAACAGCTGTTATCATCTGAAGCCATAATGAAAGGTTTGGAGCTAGGAGATAACAGGGCGGGCTGCAGCCATAATGACACGGTGCAGAAATCAACAGAATTTATCAGAACAGAGCACCGGGCTTATTCGCTTTATTTGTTTCTTGTCAGCATCTACGGACCTTCTGTCAGCACCGAATGATTTGTTTATAACCTTTGCCTTCACTGGTGTTTTATTGCTTCTCTGCAGTTAGAGCAAAACATTTAGCTTACTTTATAAGAGAAACAAAAATAAATGCCGGTCTCCTTAGATTGATTTATGGAGCAAGGTTTGTTCTAATCGTATTGCACAATTTTTCCACCTTATTTCCTGAATCTCTCCACAGACTAGAAGAGGCTTGCTGAATGGCTCTGCCTCCCTCGCTGGGTTTGACATTCTCCCCATTTGTCTTTCATCGCTCCGAGTCTATCGGGAAGAACGTCTGTTAGGAGCTTCGCATCTCATGACTGCCTCCTCCTCTGCAATCACCTGAGAAAGATCTCCAGAGGAACAAAATGATGACAACACTAACCTCTGAGGATAAAACGGTAATTGTACGAATTGGAAATGAGAGAAAACTGTCAAGAAAAGAACAAAATGAGCAAAAAGTTCTTTACAGATTGATTGAAACTATTTTTTTTTCCATGGCCAAAGGTCAGAAACGAAATGCAAATTCACGTGGGACGTTTTCATCTAGACACCTATATTATTATCCTTTGAAAACAGGCTCCCGCTTAGCTTTAAAAACATAATAAAAGCTAAACAATAATAAATAATAAGCCAGACATTAATGCGGTAATGTTAAAATTACATGTTAAAATTAGAAATGTTAACATAGTAATGTTAATGTGGGTAAAAGTGACATTACCTTGTAAAATATTTTTTCCTGCCCTGAAAGAAACAAATATATCTTCTCTATATATCAAATATATCCTCTATAGAGCAGGAATCTGCACGTATGAAAATCATTAGAGATAAGCAAGAATGTTGAAGGAGTAGTGCTGTTGCATGTGTACACCTTTACCAAATGGCAGACACATGAAACACTGTAAATCTGAATAAATATCAATAACAGGAAAAAATAAAAATAAAAAAATCTTTGTATTCCAGTGCCTAAACACAGGCTGAAGGAGAACGCAAGGCTGCTGTACATCTTTGGACTTCAACAACATGTACTTGACTCAAAAGTTGAGTACTTTCACCAAGAAAATTCAGTCTCTGACCAAAAAACGCCTAAAACCAGGTACTCATCAAAACTCCAGCGACGTCTCATGCTGCAGCAGGAGGAGGAATATGCATTATTAAATCAAGCTAGACCTGCATCCAGGTTGCACAATACCATCGCTCAGACCCCAGTTTTCTGATATTCCCTACTTCTGTACTACCAGAAAGGCAGCACCTTCTCCTGGATGCTATACCAACCCCCTGAGCACGTAATTTGCCCAACTGCCCTCTACCCAACATGAGTGCAAACGGCACAGATCAGCTGGTTGTGGACAAGAGGAGCCACTGACATGCTTCAGCAGCCCGGGCTGCCGGCATTATGTTCCCACACTGCTTTGAGGGAAAGGCTGTGGGCCAGAAAGAAAACACGCTGCAAACTGGATCCCAGTTGTAGCCTGCTAGCTAGAGCCACGCTGACCAAACCACAGCTCATCCTTGTAGCCAAAGAGAAGGTTGGGCAACTGCTGCTGTACAAAAGTAACTGCTAGAACATGCTCCATGCTGCTGATTACAGAGGTAATTATCTCTACTGATGCCCCTTTTGCCTGATTTTTTTTTTCTATTCCTTTTTATTATTATTTACTTCATTTGTGGATTTATCTGGTATGTACAGAAGCATTGTCTGAATGCCTTGTGGGGAAAAAGATAGCATACTATCCACAACAGGTGGCCGAGGACACAGTGCATGTCAGAGCAGCTCTTCTCAATTACTGAAAGTACAGCTGTAACCTGCAGAGAGAAGGTGCACTTGGAAACAACCCCTATCTTGCGTTCTCAACCTGCTTCCTTTGGCTGTATCTGGCTGAGGACTTAGAGATTTAAATCAAAGCCCTCTGCTTGCCATATCAAGGCCTCCTGTCAGTATTTCTCCTTAAAGCACATCACTATCATTATTGCTATTACTTTCTGTGATAGAAGATGATAAATCCATTATTTTAGTGTGGGTCTCATAATCTGCACAGTGGTTTACCTGGAGACCCCTGTAGCAAAACTTTTCATGCAGCCAAAATTAACACTTTTCGGACTGCTTTCTTCCCTTCATTTTCTGTCTTCCATGTTCATCCACTTTATTCTCTGCAAAGGGTCACGTATCTGTAGGAAGTTTCATTTTGTCTGAAATCCTCACTCTCTTCCATGAATGAAAAAATGCTCGCTCAATTGCTCTTAAAACCATTTCCCAGCTGCCAGTCCCTTTTCAAAGCCCTTGCTCTCTTTAGCCTCACCAGAGAGCCTGACATGTTCTCACTTGGAAGGCAGAAACCCATACCCACCAAGATAATTAGCACCCTAACTCCCTGCTTCAGGAGTTCCTCTGCAGGAGAAGCAGGAGCAGCAGCAGCTGGGCTTCAATGCATTACCTGTTTGATTCAACAGAGAAAGCAGTAACTTTTCTTTTTTTTTTTTCTGGGATGGTGAGGATTTGCTAGCTTGCAGAAGGTATCTCCACCTCCCATGAGTAACACAACCACTATCCTAGGCTGTAAGCAACACAGCCCTGTTGTCATACAATAGGCTAATTTAGATAAATACTTATATTTCATTAATATAAGCTTTTTTTTTTTTAACTGTAGATGCAGTTTGATTACTATAAAACCCTGCATTTTATTTCTGCCACAGATGTTACATATTAATGTCACCAGTAAATCAAACTTAAAAAAAAAATAAATAAAATCTTGTACCGTCCACCATATATCGGACTTCTCTACATGCAAAAATGGAATTAAATAAAAAAGGAAATTTCTGTGAGCATATCTTTCTACCTTCTGCACGTACTTTAAGCAGAAAGTGAAGACTTTTATTAGTAGCAGTATTTTTACAGATATCTGAAGCAGGCAAATCCAGACATAGGCCAAAGCACGAACAGGTCTGAAAGGACAGCGCCCGCCTGGGGCTAAGCACAGCAGGGCACAGCCCTGCCACCAGGTGACCACCAGAGCCAGGGGCTGTGTGAGGAAAACCCAGGCTCAGAGCTCTAAGCAAAGCCACACAGCCTCCTCCACTCATGCCAGCAAAGAGAGCAGAAAGGTCCTGGGTGCCAGGTACCTCCTATTCCCTTATTTCCCTTCACGTACCCTAGGACCTTGAATGTAAAACTGACACTTCATGCTGGGAGAGAGAGCCCTGCCATTGTGGGGATCTCAGCTCCCCACAGCCTTGTCTGTGGGCTCCCACACAGCCGCCCCCATGCTGGAAGCAACCTAACCCTGCTGTCGGGGGAGAAGGGCAAGGAGAATATATCCCACCGCAAACAGCCAGCAAGCCTCTGAAGAGGAATGGTAGAAGTAAGCCCCACGTTTTATACAATCCATTACTACGTGTGGTGTGTGACTGATCCCCTTCCTCTCTGATTTTCACGCAGAAGTGGCAGGATGCTGCCCCGCTGATATCAGTCCTCTCCCCAGGCACCACGTGGATGGAGGTGGTGGAGGAAGCTGTATAAATTCACCGTTGTTTATGGCCAGCTTCCTCGGCGTAGCCAATTCACACATGCAGCCGGCTTACAGCCTACAGATTACAGCAGTAAAGCTGGCGTGGTGATCCAGTAAGACGATACTGCCCACTGACTGCATGCAGCAGGGCAAAGATTGATGGGGAGAGCACTCGTGAGAACATGATATGAAGAAAGACTAAAAATAGAAAAGCGCATTTCAGTTTTCTTTCCACTGTTCAACATTGCAGAGAAAGGTGACCATGACAGACTTCTTGCATTTTCCACAGTTAGGGGTCTACAGGATACGATGTTTACAGAGCATTGCATCAACTTTCACCTACAGAACAAAAGAAGGGTATTTTTTTTTTCCTCACATCACTATTCTCAAGCAACAGATTTTCTACAACCAACATGCCTCCCTCCCTCATCTTATAGATGTTACAACACCACCTCATTTTCAGATCCTTAGGACGGGAAGTAGTGACCTCTGGTAGGTTGCCTTGGCTTCTTCTGCATGCATGGAAAGCCACAGTGGGAGTACGTGTCAGCCAAAATTAGCTGTGACGAATTCCTGAGTCCTAACACTATGCCTTGCACCTCTAAAACATGCTCACTCTTTGGTTTTGACTGCCTGTGAGCAGTTGTGCCCATAAGCACGCACGGGGCTGCATACAACGTCTGAAAATTTCTAGGGCATGTCAATGTCAACAGCGCAAGAATCAGGAGACCTGGTTGCAGGACCTCAAGGATGGACTGCTTTCATCGATTTTGCCTTCTTAGCAGAGGAGAATTTTTGCTTGAATGAAATACAATCGAAGTTTAATAATATTCCCCTGTTCACCTGCAGGTATTTCACGCCAAAATCTCCCATCCTAAAAAGACACCCTGGAAGGCAGTCTGTCAATTAAATCAAGGTGTAATTTGATAGAGATGCGCTAAAAGCACTCATAATGTGAAACTGGGATTCATGGATCATGCACAGACAAGTCCCCTAAATCGTCCATCATCTCTGAAGATGATATGGGTAAGTCACTGGGAACAGAAACTCACATGTAATGCCACTTACACACTTCAGCACACTAACTTATTGAAGTCGTAACCCACTGATTAAAACCACGTTCCATGTTTATCTTCGGGTATCAGCAAGCACCGACTGATAAATCACAGCTACAGGAATTTTACCCAGAAGCTGGCACTAAGAATTGCTACTCAGAGGTATGATAAGACGTAAATTCAGAGAGCAGATGGAGATCATGGGATGATAACAAATGCTATCAGTAGTTTACTGACATGTCATTGAAGAGCTATGTGAGGCCCCCATCCAACTGGCTTCCTAAAGATATAAGGAAACAGAAGAAATAAGCTACAATAGTAAGGAAAGACAAATGAAAACATTAACCAGCAGTTAGGATGTCAAATGGTTTGTAGTCGCTAGGCAGATGAAGTAAGTACTCTGCAAACTTCTGTATCAAAGTCTACAATTGAGGCTTGACATCATCAGAATAAATCAGCAGCAGCACTCAAAAAACTAGTGTTGCTTTTGTTTGTTTGTTTTTTATAGAAAATATCATCTAAAGATGTGCAATGATTATGAATTCTAAAAAAAGAAACTCAAAGTTCTTCTGTATTATTTATGTTAATCCTCACAACAGTGCTTACTCTGTCTGACTATAGCCTTATTAAACCAGTGTCAAGCAAAGCGCAGAAATTTTGTAAGGTGTATTTAGTCCTTAAATGTGGGACACAGCTGGGAAAGGAACCTGAATCTTATCCTGTTGACTATTGCCCGTTACACAAACTGTCCCCAGTTTGTACGGTAAATGACTGTTGCCATTTTTTTTAAGGTGATCTTGATATCCCTGCTAGTTAAATGAGGCATTCCAAAAGAGAAATATTAATTTTAAAACACAAGAAGGGAAACTGCAACAGTCTGTTTTCCAAAGAATGAAAATGCAAACCCAGCATGATGAAGAAAATGTGCACACATCCTAAACATGCATTTATCTTAACCTTAGTAACCACACGATTCCCAGAGATTTATTGATAGATTTTATCAGTAATATATGAACAGCAATGAAGTGGAAGGTTATAGCAGTGGGTGGTTTCCAACTGAAAATGTAAGAAAGTATCTTATTTGCAAAATGGTCTTCTCATGAAACCACAAAAAATTGCAGCTAGCACCACACCTTAATCCATGGGAGTGGTGAGAAGGAAAAACGAGAGTGCTATGCGGTCTGTTAAGCCTTCAGGTTTAAAGGGCATGGGTTACTAGAAGAACACAGTTCACCAATAAGTAATGTTTAATAATGATGATAAAACAAATTAAAAATGCTCAAATATTTTCATGGACCAGAAGGGAAATGGTCATAATAAGTTATTAAAATTCCAGAAACCATGGGCTGGCGGCAGTTTCAGTAGTTTGTTTCAATTTAATATATCACTTCCAAATTTCAGAATTCCCTTACAGAAATCCCACTCATTGTGCAAAAAAAATACATCATCTTATTAAGCACTTAAATATTTACTGAGAACTTAGCAGCATAAGCCCACAACTCCTCTTCCCTGCCTCTCAGCTCTCATCTCTACTCCTCCCAGTTTTGCTGCCTACTCGTGCCAGGCTTTCTTGCCTGGAGCCACCATGCTGCTCTTCAGAGCTCCCCATCCACTGACAGTGAGCAAATGGCAGCCACAAGGCAGAGGTTAACAGGGCCATCTTTTGTAACTTTCGAAATGACAACAGGGCTCTACACATCTCACTGAAGAGTAATATAACCTCATGGTCCAGCCTCAGTCTAGTTAGAGGAACAAAGTTTCATGCTCAGGTTCCCTTGCAGACCACACATGCTCCTAAACTATGCATTCCCTATTTAACCTTTTCTTACCTCCCCCTCCAAAATGAAAAGAATAGAGCTTTCCGGAACAGAAGATTAACGTTCACCCTTTTATTTTATTCATTTGCATTTACAGAATCACAGAATTGTTGAGGTTGGAAGGGACCTCCAGAGATCACCTAGTTCAACCCCCTTGCTCAAGCAGGGTCAGCCAGAGCATATTATGCAGGATGGCATCGGGGCAGGTTTTGAGTATCTCCTGAGAAGACTCTACCACCTCTCCGGGTAGCCTGTTCCAGCGCTCTGTCTCCTGAACTGTAAAGTTCTTCCTCATACAGCAATGAAACCTCCTGTTGTTCAATTTATACCCATTACCCCTTGCCCTGTCACTGGCCACCACTAAGAAGAGTTTGACCCCATGATCGTTACAAGGCCGCCTCAGGTATTTGTAGAGATTGATGAGATCCCCTCTCAATCTTCTCTTCTCTTGGCTAAACAGGCCCAGCTCGCTTAGTCTTTCCTCCTGGGACAGATGCTCCAATCCCTTGATCATCTTTGTAATCATCTTTGTAAGCATTTAGAAAGCATATAGGAGGCTGCAGACAGCAGAGCCCAGTGATGTACCCATTGCTGAAAGACGAGTCCACCAGCAGCTGCAGTCAGGCTTTTCAGCCATTCTTTAGCTTGCTGGCACAGCAGCAGCTATCACTGCTGCTCATCTTCCACCCACAGCATAGAAAAAACTCACAGTGCATTTACTGACACTTCATTTAGAACCGCAGCCTAACTCACTTTTTTGTGCTGTCCAAGCAGAGCTGACCTACAACACAAAGTTACAGCTATATATTTGTACTGCCATGAAGCACACAGCCCATCCATACGCTAAGGCTCTGCAATGGGTCTCTGACTCAAAAAGTTTCTACAGCCTTGGACTAAGATAAAAGCCAGATGTCAAGTTCAGGTGCAGAAAACACAAGACAATACTGACATTTTATCCAGCACCTTTCAAATACTCAGAATAAAGTATTTTTATATATCTTCTGGATAAAGGATATTAATGAATATTACTAGCAGAAATAAGACTGTGCAGTGATAACACAGCTAAGAAAAAACACGCATCTAAATATTTAATCATGATTTTACATATTTTGTATGAGGTTTGTATACAAACGGCTCCCTGTCACAATACGAGCACTTCCCTCTCACCACGTAAGCTAGGTTACTTCTGGGTGTTCACAACACTATATTCTTACTATACAACTAGAAACAAACATTTTTTCCAAAACCCAGAATGCTTCTCACATGCCCAGAAAAACAAGTTCTAGGTTTTGTTTGCATTTGGTTTTGGTATGGTTTCGGTATGGTTTCTTTTCAGGGTGCATACAATCCCACATACATAGCTGGCAAAATATTTTTGTTCAAGATCTTGGAGTTTCAGAAACAACTTCACCTTAGATTATTTAAAACACAAATATGAACAATATTTAGCGTATACTTCCATCATTTTTGGATGCTCTAGGATGTTTAATATGGCTCACACCCAGGAAGCAAGATGTCCACCTGGAAAACTGGACAGTCCTACTGCCTCAGAAAAGAGTAGTCTTGTCTTATTAACCATAAATATTTCTCAAAGGTAGCCAGAACAGGTTTTTTTACACCTGTTCGGTAACATACCTGGTGTTGCTACTAGATACCTCACCTTTCAGCAATCTCCAGTGGAGAAAATGGTCTTGATCTGCAGACAACAAATCCAGAAAAAAAGACAACACATTGGATTCTCCAATAGAGCTGCCTTCAGATTTATTACTGATTTTTAAGTGGAACATTTTCTGCTTCAATTTATATTGATGTAACTCTGGATAAACTAGGCTGACGTAAAGAAGGTCTTTTAGATATGCACTGAGATAGTCAAGCACAATTTAGTTTCAGCTATCATATCTCAATATTACTGGAAAATACTTTCCTTGCTTTTTAGCCATGCTTTCCCTGAGGTCAATCTGAATTTGACACAGCCTTTCCTTCACGGATGAGAAGCAAGCGGTGGGAAAATTCATCAGCTCAAAGGAACACTAACCACAGTTAAAGTTATCACTGCCACTATCACAATATTTGCTTTGCAGGTAATTTAAATTGCTCATCCAGATTTTCTCAAAGCATTAAGGACCGACTCCTAGTCAGAAAGAACAGCATAAGCGATAAAAGTAAACCAATCTGTGTTTATCTACTTTTTAAAGTCATAGCAAGACAAATTTCAAAGAAGGAAGAATCTCACTCTGAACATTCAAATCTGAACTGAATTAAATCTGAACTTTGCATTCTGTATGGGATATGCTCTGCAGCCGGTCCCACCAAGAAGGAGAGCCTGTTTCAAAATCATCATTCTATTAATGAGGAAATTAAAGTAAACTGGTTAAAAATCATGTACCCAACACCTGCGCTCTCTCTTTTGTGCTGGAGATTTAAGACAAATAAATGAAGCATGTCAGCAATCTTGCAAAACAGCAGTGCTTATGCATGCAGCTAAAGTATTGCTCCCCTGCTTTATAACCACTGATGTCATATGCTAACTTCTGGCCTTAATGAACTGGGGGGGGGGGGGGCGGGCTGGGAACACCATTAATTGTGAGGCCACACATCACTGCTCCCTAAAAAGGATGAAATAAAAACGATGAAAAAATCAGAATGCCATCATTACTGCCTGATGATTACAGCAGTGCCTCAAAATTCAGGTTGCTTATACAAGAGGGACCAGTTCATCCTCTCACACCACAGGTAACCTTCTCAGTAGTCTCAGTAAACTTTCCATTGAAGCACTCTGAAACTTCTCATCTACAAAATGCTCAGAAAGGACAGTGCTAATAAGAACCAGTTCTCTTATTTGGTGGGTGCCAGAATGCTGCAAAACAAAGGTTCTCCTCCAATAACACGTGCAATTTATGTCAGTAATCTGTAGGCACTGTCCTCAGGCATGTAAGTTAGCGGCCTTAATAAAAGAGATTGCAAACATGGAGATTGAGGATAATGTGGGAACAAACTTTTGCAGCTGCATTAGCTGTATCATGATTCCTGCCTGATAAGAGGAATTAAATTTCTTAGAGCCATGCTATGCAACAACCCAGTGCACAACCCAGCAGCTATACTTCTTTTGACACACCACAAGAAGTGACAATGAGCACACTGCAGTCTTAAGTGTTTTGTTTTTTTGTTTGTTTGCCTTTTTTTTTTTTTTTTTTTTTTTAACTAATTGCCTGAATTGTAGAAAGAGATATCCTCTAAATGCAGAACAAGGTGGCAGGAAACTTGGAACAATAAAACTCCGATACTGACTTCCTCCCAGCAGAGCCTCCTTGGAGCCTCCTTTGGTGCCACAACACCGTCAGACTTCCAATATTTCCCTTTACAAGGCTTCTCCCCATCCTGCAAGGAGGATATAACTTTGTCAAATTTGCTCACCTTGGATAAAGCTTTCTACATCAGAAGCCTGCCTCCTTGCTGAGTTGTTTTAGGCAATTTCAGGAAGAGCATACCCCCAGGCCTTTTTCGGAAAGAACTGAAAGCACACTTTTCTGCTCATGTTGAAAAATTTTGTTGACCTTTCCCCTCTAAGAAGACAAGCACCCCCAGGCTGACTAGCAGGGACATGCAACATCCCCTGGCATTTCAAGGAGGGGCAGTAGCAGATGGGAGCATAATGGAGACTGTTTCAGAGTATGGCTTTTGCTGCCATTGTGAAAACCTCCCTGAAGTTGAACATAGATGGAGGGGTGGGGTGTGAAACCCCTCAAATTCATGTTTTCCCAATAGGAACTTTTAGCAAAGATCCTTCGTGTGTTTCAGCTCAGGACTCACTAGCTCTTCATCAGCAACTGCCATTCTTGGATGCTAAAAGCCACATCTGGTTCACATCTGCTCCTATGAAGAAAGAACAGGAAAAAGATTGTTCCTGTGTATCAGTGAACCTCTGCAAGTGTTCTGCAACATGGAGAAGCATGCTGTGCAGTTCCAGACCAAAGGAGACACAGTGGAGTCCTACAGAAAGGTGGGAAGGAGAAATTGGGACTGAAGCCTGATGGACACCAGGAGATGGAGACTGAGTATGAGCATAACTTAGAGGGCAGAGAAATTTGAAATGATGGAAATGATGTCAGGAGAAAAGAAAAACCTAGTGAGAAGCTGAGGTATAGACAGAGGGGAACAATGATGGGCCTGGCAAAAAGACTGACAAGCTGTGACAAGCTGTTTGAGAGAGCATCTTCAGATCAGGAAGGGAACTGTGGGGAGAGACCTGGAGGCAGCAGAGACTAAGAACATGGAAAAGAGAAAGATCAAGAAGTGATAAATCACATGAGGAAATGTGACACCACGGACTGATGAGGATGGGATTACACAGAAAAAAAATGATGATAGGTGGTTGTGAAGAAGACTACAGGCAGTAGACTGCAGAGAGCAGGACTTTCTGGGTACAAAGGCTTGACTGAGGAGTCTTAAGTAATAAATATATAAATAAAGGAGTCAGGCAACAAACCGCATGGAGAGGAGACAGAAGACAGACTTCAACTAGAAGGGATGGTTTATAATATGTCACATCTGGAGGGAGAATAGAGAAACTCATTCATAAAAATGAAGTCTCCCTGACTTCAGATGCAGTTCAGTATTCCTGAAGCTCAACTTCCATTTGCATCAGATATTTGTGCAATGCACTGACAAATTATACTTTACTCTAGTTACTGGTCTGTATAGATGACAACAACTTTTTAATGGCATTATTTTACTGCTGAGTTCTTAAATCACATGGCTGAGTTTCACTGTGAGAGTATATTTAACGTAACATGCCAAATACAGACATTTTCTACAGTTATTTTATGCCATGTACAAGGGTAGGGGCTTCTAACTTCTGTGAAACACTAATGCAAAGTACCAAATTTTATTATAAAATCAGGGGAAGCATTTTACACAGGAAAAAAAGATGCTGCTTGAGTAAGTAACTCTAAAGTTCATGAGTATTCTAACTCGATTGCTATTTGAAATAGTCAGGCTGGGTCCTGAAGAGGAGAAAGTCTGCAGGTTTTGCCCTGACCAGTACACCTGTCAGCATGACACAAGCAGGAAGCCAAGGTATCCGATTTCTCATCATAAACTTGCCTGAAACACGCTTCAAGCTGTACTAATTCAAAATTGAAATACCCTTAACAGATCATCTGATAGAACACACCAAACAATGTTCAGTCTATCCTTGCTACAATGCTTGCCTGTGCAAGAATCACAGCAGCATTCCTCAAAACAATAATAATTCAACTGCTCTTCCAGGTCACATACAAAATGGTTGTAGTGCTTAGAAAAGCAGTTGTTTTAAAGCATGTCCTGAGGCACAGGGAGCCAAGTAGTACCCCTACAGCCTCCTCTCACTCATCCTAAACCAATGAAATACTTCAATTTAAAAGCTGGAGAACCTCAGTAGATCTCCAATATCAGTTAAAGATCACATTAGCCATGTCCTTTGAGGTTGATTTCTACCTGTATCTGACAGTTTGGCACTGTTTAGAAAAAAGACCACCTGGATACTCAAAAGCCAGTCAAAATCTGTGCCTTTTTAATTTACTTTAACAACGTTGGGTCAAAGAAAACATCCAAAGGGGTGAAAATCTGTTTTTCCCCATTCACTCCATAGTCTTTTATGGGGAGCATGCTAACACTACATGTTCAAAGGATTACACAGGTTGAAAAGATATTCCCTAAAACACTATTGTAGGCTAACTCTTAATGAATGAGCTTCAATAAGATGAACAGTACCAGGATCCTACATGCAGTTTCACACCATTCATGTTAATGGGTCATTTGTGTATGTCTTATACACGTATGTATGACTAACTCTGGAAACCATTTCCAGGCACATCAAGGACACAAAGGTAATCAAGAGCAGTCAGCATGGATTCACCAAGGAGCTGTCATGTTTGACTACCCTGATAACCTCCCTTGATGAAAGAACTGGGTTGGTAGACAAGGGGAGAGCAGTGGTTATTGTCAGCCTGGATTCCAGGAGGGTTTTCAACACTGTCTCCTGTAAGAGCCTCACAGACAAGCAGTTGACATGAGTAGACAGCGAGGTAGATTGAGAAGCGGCTGAATGGACAGGCCCAGAGGGCGATCAAAAGCAGAAAGTCTAGTTGGAGGCCAGTAACTAGCAGTGTACCCCAGGGCGCAACACTGAGTCCAGCACCTCTCATATGAGGAAAGGCTGAGACTGATCAGCCTGGAGAAGGCTCAGGAGGGATCTCATCAATGCACTAAAATACCTCAAGGGAGGGTGCAAAGGGGACAGAGACGAGCTCTTTTCAGTGGCAGGACAAGAGGCAATGGACACAAACTGGAACACAGGAGGTTCCCTCTGAAGATGAGGAAGCACTTCTGGTCATTGTGCAGGTGACCAAGCATTGACACAGGTTGCCCAGAGAGGTTGTGGAGTCTCCCTCCTTGGAGATCTTCAGAAACTGCCTGGACATTGTTCTGGTCAAGTGGCTCTATGTGGCCCTACCTGAGCAGGGAGTCTGGACCAGATGACCTCCAGAGGTCCCTCCCAAACTCAACTAATCTGTGATTCTGTGTAGCTTTGAGTCGCTCCTTTCACAAGTTAATGTGACTTGCTAGATGGGGCTGAACTCCTCTACTTCTTCATATCTCTTGGCACAACATCACAACTGGATGCATGGATGTATTAAAAAAAATAGAAGTAAAAATACTTGATGGCACATTGCAGGCAAGCATGCCTTTCTCTGCACCAACAAGAAATTTAGAGAGTGGGTTTAGAAACTTCAGTTTTAAAGCCATCTCAGTTGTAGAGCTGGAACACGTTTCAAAGTGCTGGAAACAACAGTGAGAACACGCTACTTTTAAACATATTTCCATTGTCCACAGAGAAGGTAATGTCAGCAAATCCCCATTGCTGGGAGGACAAAAAGCCTGTAGCAACAGCCCTCAGCTGGGGTCAGAGGGCAATTAAAATGGTACCTATTCATTTCTCTCTTTTTGTCCTCATGCCATCCTCAGTCTGACATTATTTCAGTTGCTAGCTCTTTGTACTTGGGTTGCTTTGCTTCTCCAACTATCCAACAAAAAAAGGGGGGGAGAGAAAAACCTCCTTAGTATTTTTAGTCTGCACACATAAGCTGTTGCATTGCAGTCTGCTGCAAAACTCACTAACTCAACTAAATCACTGGAGTGCTCCAGTTCCACTTAATTCCTACTCCCCCCTAGCTTTCCACTTCCTGGGTTTTCCCTTATTTCCTTGTATTGTTTCTCCTCTGATTATTCACTCTCTCCACTTAGCACTGGTTCATTTGCTTGTGCCTTCCTCCAGCAGCTCCCACCTTCATGTTTCCATACATGTCATGGGCAGCACTTGTCCTTCGACCTTCCTCCAGCTCTCCTTTTCCTATTCTTATCCCATTTCCTAACTAGCTGCCAAAACTTGACCCAAGTTTATTTGGAAAATAAGACAGATTGAGCTGCTTCCCTTCATCTTAGTTTGGCTCTGTACCAGTCATCTGGCTGCCAAACTAAATGGCCTCAAGTCACAGACGCCTAGATAATCAAACCCTCAAAGGCTACAGTACTCCTACAGATGTCTGCGGAGGCTTACCACCCTTCTTACAACCACCACCCTTGGATAGGTGAAGCACTGCAGCATTGCTAAGCTAACATGCGGAGAAAGGAATCTTGAGAAACATATACAAAGAGGCTGCTCCGTGACATGCTTCCAGTCACAGCTCTCTCCTCTGACACCATGTAGAGAACACGCGCAGGCTGAGGTAGCTGGCTCCCCACTGCCCTCACCGTTTAGGAAGGTGCTCCTTCCAAGCCCAGGGATTCTGAACACCGACTGAAACAAAGCCCCACTGCCAACCCCTCCACCTCTCAAATAGGCTGCTAGCGCCACACAAAGCTTTCAAGAATCTTTATTAGATGCTGTAGAAAATGCCCTTTGACATTTCACAGGTAAATTCCTCAAGTTCTTTCACAACTTCATTTAATCTACATTTGCTGTAGTGATGCTTCAAGTGTTTCTAGTAAGCTTTTTTTTTTTTGGCCTTTCTACTTCTAAATGGAAAATTTGTTTCAAGATGTTAATGATAATTTTCCAGTTTCTCAAGTTGTATAGTTTACTGCATAGGAAGATGAACGAGGGGTAAAGTTTCCAAAAACATAGAGGTCATGCCTTGTGAACAGTGACTACGCATAGATATTGACTGACTTCTATAGCATATGACAACCTTTAACACTACCAAAATGTAACTTCAAGGTAGAGAAACAGCAACAGCTACAGAAACCAACAAACCTTGCAGAAAAAGATTTCTTTGTGAGAACTTGGGGAGGGGATGATGATCAAAGTATCCATTTGTTACCAAAGCCTTAACCTTTCTTCCTCTTTATTTAAATTTTTCATGATTTGCTGGGCAAGGGGCTGGGATTGAGGGGGATGTCATCTTCAGCTGACTGATACTTTCTTTTGCAAACCAGCTCATATAGCTGTTTAAAGCTATGTATTCTACAAATAGTGCACCAAACATATACCTCCCAAGAAATTCTTCTCTGTGGGTGGTCATAACACACAGGCATGGGTTAAGTACTCGGCCTACAAACAATAGCCGAGAGACTTCATTGTCATCATCAATAACACAAAAGAACATGACTGATGGGCACAGTTGTAAGCACATGGAGTGGCCATAACAATCCACAGAAGGACTCAGCTGTATTTTAGCCCGTACTAGAAAGGGAAAATGAAAGATATTGTTGGACTGGGGATTGGACAAAAGTATCACCGCTACTAATACATGCTACAGTCACCACCCATTCAGAACTGATACTAAAGAAAACATAGTTCCCTCATGCAACAGACAAACAATAGGGTTATCCAGCAAATGCACATGCCATATTCAATAATATAGGCCAAGGACTTGGAGCGAACAGACTGCAGCTGTGACCTGCACAAAAGGGAGACTGACAAGGCAGGAAAGAACTTGCAGAACTAGTATTTGGGGAGTGGGGGTAGGGTGGAAGAATCAAAAAGGGAGACCCTTCAGGAAAAACCTTTAAAGAGCCAAACAGGTTTTCTGCAGTTTGCTTCTTACTATATATTCCAGGGGGGAAAAAAGAGCTTTTTTTTTTTTGGTAAATAAATGTTACTGCAAAGAATTCATCACTCTTTATTCGCTACTCAACTATCTATACTACTAACTATCACTATATCCTATCAACTGTAGGATATTTTTTCTGTTAATGCTTCATGAACAAGAAATAACAGTTCAGATTTATTTAATCAAATAAAAACTAGAAATAAACAAGAACAACGATGTTACACACACACATTTATAAAGACCCTTGTTTGGGTCACCAGCAAATGCCAGTTCCACTTTCAGGTCCATCTGTTCTGCTGTAAAAGCTAAAGATATTAAATACAGCACTATGGAACAGTTAGCACACTCGTCAAGACTCCTACCTCCACAATGCTTTTCAGGTCCTGCACGTACATCCTCTCTGTTTCCAGAATCTCTTGGACAACTCTGTCTACATAGAGGAGCTTCGGACTGGTGGGCTCCGTCACCAGGGACATTGCACAGTTTTTGCTCACTCCCTTTGGTTCTGCTTTCCTCGTCATGCTGAGCTTTTTTTCCAGGCTCTCCTCAGGATCCTCTTGCTCCGCAGGGGTGTTTTTGCATGGCTTGGTGCTGGAAAATCGTCTGGCTGGGACTAGTTCTAGCTTGATGGCACCCGTTTCTTTATCCTGGTTAAACAGGCCCAAGTGGCTGTTGGAAACTAAGGTCATCCTGCTTCCAAAGGAACAGTGGCTGTCCCTGGAGGAAGCAGAAGAGGAAGTGGAGCTAAAGCTGACGGGACGGTCACTGTCTGATAGGTCCATGGTTTTTTTTTCACAGCAGCGGAAAGATCTGCTCTCCTGGTGCAAATCTTCTCCTTTTGTCTTGGAGTCAAGGGCCTCTGTCACAGCTGGTAAAACATCAAGAGGTAAGTGGAAGTCATCTAAAAAATAAACAGAAGGAGTGGTCTTACTGTTGGTGCTCCATGTAACTTAATAGTTGGCAACAGACATTTTTACAGCTTTGCATACAAAATTGAGACAAATCTGTTTTTCCCAAAAGACAACCAGAGCAACATAATTTGGGGATCACATTTTTAGGTGGTGGGGATTCCCCATGGGAAGCTACTAAATAGGCATTGCATGATTCCAGTTCGTGTATATACCTCTGACACATCCTGTCTTGGCCCCATGTGCTATGGTGCTGGACTTAGTGATAGCACATGCACCATTCAGGCTCAGCAGAGGAGAGAAGTAAGACTCAAAGACTTTCCCTAAGGTTAAAAAAACTCTATTGGGAAGAGACCTTGCTACCCGCAAGCTGTGAGTTCACCATGGCTTGGAGGCTTTCGAAAACTCAAGGACTGTGTCATTGATACCAGACAGTACCTTCCATTTTGAACACTGCAAGGCCAACACGGGCAAGCAGAAACTGAAAGCAGTTAGTTATCAATTACCAGCTCTGCAGCTTGTACAAAAACACTAAAACCAGAATGATTTCCCAATGAAAATAACATAGCTTCTGAAAAAAAGAACTCCCACAGGAAACAGTGCTGCCAAATAATTCTGTTTTCTACTGGGAAAATAAGTTTTTCTGAATCTGTACAGCTCAAGCCAGAATATTACCCCTCGTTGAACTGACTCAAAGCTGTTTTTCCTATCAGTGCAATAACAAAGTAAGATGTCTGTCTTCCTGTTGGCACATCAAATCTAGTTTCTTTTTATTGACCATATGCCCTGAAGGACATGGTCCATGATGTAGTGCAGATTTCTCTCTGGACAAGTTGTGTGCCGTGCAGCAACGAGAACCTGTAAAAGCAGCTGCAGATACATTGAATACTTCAAGGTTCTGTTTCAGTAAGAAGTATCTACCCAAAAAACATGTTTCAGACTCAGTAAAAAGCAGTATGTCAGTATTGTGAAAAATAAACTTGTGACAATTTAGAATGAGAAGCAATACTGAAGCCACCTATACAGTGTGAAGCTCAGTCCTTATTTTACACTGGTAACAACCTAATTTTTCAAAAATCATACTGGTGACTAGAACTCCAGAGGGTGGTTTCAGTAAAGAAACCATAAAGTCTTTAAAATAGCAAATTAAGCTCACCTAACCTTTAAGGATCTTCTTAAACTAAAGCAGACTGGTTATGAAATTACAAGGAAAAAACACCCCTACACTGACTGGGGCCAGGGGTGGGGGAGGATTTTATTCAGAAAAGAAAAAAAAAAAAAAACCACACTACTTTTTATTTAAAAATAAAAAATAAAAGAAATCCAAAACAAACAGACAAAAAAAATCCCGAGAAGAACGTTTGCTTTATTTGGCCTATCTTGAATGCATATGATTTGATTTGTGCATGAGTAATTAATACTACCATTTCAGTGACAATATTAGCTTTTTGTTACAGAAAAGTACTGCCCTTAAGGTAACACGTGGAATTAACAGAGAGTAATTTGCTCATTATATGGGTCAGAAATTGGCCCTTAGACTAAAATCTGATCTGGCACCTCTGTCCTCCTGGTTTTATCTCAAGTCTGAAAAACTACAGCCCTTCTTTAAGCCATGTTCTTCCATTTTTGCAACACAGGATCATATTTTCTTCCTTTTCTTAAATTAAGCAAGTAAAGTATAAACTTCAAAATAAAATATAAAGCAAAAATATGGAAAGTGTTTTAAACTGAAGAATGCAGTGAAGTTCTCTTGTTTCAAAATCAGTATGGACAAAGATGTTTGCTTTCCTATTGCTTGTGATAAGAAAGTATGCATTTTTGATAAGAATGTATTTTTGTTATCAGCTTTGGATCATTTTTCAAGTTCAGTTAGAAAGCATAATGTTACTGTGCAGATGTAAACCCCCTTGAAAAATGCACAGGATAAACAAGATAACAGGGATGCCCTTCCGCTAACTTACTTCAAGATATTTTAACTAAAATTACACGACAAAGAAACACCTGATTAGCCACATTTAGGGGGAAAATAAAGGGTTCCTGTTACATTCCATTGCTCCATGCTCTTTTCTTCCCATTTCACTGATATGTTGTCTGCCTTCCAGATAACCTGAAGGCATTAATATATAATATTTGCTTCACAAACACTGTGAGACTCATTAATACAAAAACCCAACAAAACACAGTTCAGGTCAATGAAACAGATCAGAATAAAAGCATTTTTTTTTTTTTCTTTTCCATAAAACGTACTCATAGAAAGAAACATGGGGAGATTCCAACACACCTTAAATAAAGCAACAACACAAACTATTTATTTCCTTGTTTAATGACAGTGCCATTGCTTATTAAAAACTAACAACAAGGATTAGTTGTAGCAGTTAAACTGTGCTTGCTCAAACACCTGCATTCTCCCTGACCCTGGCAAGCCCCAGGTCCCTGCTAGGCACAGCTAATTAATTGCTCACAACACATTTGACTCAAGTTCCTCTGTTTTCAGACAAATTCCTGCATATTTCTATATAAATTACAGCAGGCAAGCTATTTGTTACTTGAAAATCATCTGCTTCGTCCTCAGAGCTTCATCCTAACTACCAGTCTCAAAGTTACTTTTTACTTTAATTTGTCTTTATTCCAGCCGTAAATTGGGTGTTTGGCTTCTCTGTGAACAGACTTTGCTCAAATCCTGCCACGTTGTCCCTAAGAGAGGCGTTTTGCTAGGCAGAGCACATCAGCTCCAAAGAGCGTCAGGCCCTGCTGGAAGCCCACCTCAGGTCACAAAGCTCAACAGAAAGGCACGCCAAGGCTGGCCGGGCATTTTGGCGTGACAGTCTCCAGGAAGCAGACTCCTCTCTCTCCTCAGCTTTCAGGCCCTGTAACAAACACTGTGCACCCTGCTAGTGTCACTCAGAGCTGAGGGACGGGCCCTGGCTCAGCCTAGCCCTGACTTTCCATCTGAGCTACAGGTACCTGTTAAATAGCCACAGCCCTTCCCAACAACACAGCATCTGAACATCTTCCAAGGTTTTGCAAGTTTATCTTCAGAAACGCCTCTGAGGCTAGGCAGAATTACCCCTGTTGTTGAAACCAGTTTCCGAGAGTTGAGATGATTTCTCCAGTCACAACCCGATCAGAAAACGCAGAAACTGAATCCCATTCGTTGCTGCAATCCTATGCCCATCCTTCTCTTTTTCAGGGTTTGGATTTGGCTTTTCAGAGCCCTGGTCCAGTTTTAACGTAAAATAACTTCACTCTTCTGACAACTGCCTGAATTCTGCATATCCTGGCTGCTGAAAACCTCACAGATAAATTAATGCAGGGGGAACAGCCTCCCCCAAAACTGATCTCGCCGTGTCACAGCTGAGACAGCTGCCCTCTACTGCCTGTGCCTTTGAAAACACTGTAGCCTCTTACGAATTTCTCTCTGACACAAACTTGTCATTATGAAAAGCAAATTCACCTCTCAGATAGCCCACAGGACTGATTTATAAGGCTCTACAGCCCCCCTGCACCCACACACACACCCCTTTCCCCCTGATTTCACAGCACCACCAGCAGCCAGCTGCACTGGGCTGCAGACGAGCTGTGCAGTTCCAGCTATCGGCACATCTCCTGCAAAGGACACACTCTGAGCAGGGCTTGTGCTCCCTGACCCACATCTGGCCAGGTCACCACGTTTTTGTTTGTCATTCCTTTGTCTACTGGGCCTTTTCAATGATGAGCCAAACTAATATTGAGAACTTTTGTGAGTTGTGAATAACAGTATTTAACTCAGTCTGGGGAGGAAAAAAAAATCTTAAATTTGCATACTTTAATTAACGAATAACAGTAATGACTTGTTAGTTCAGCGCTGAAAGGAGGATAATTGCACATTTGTCCGGACTCACAAGGCAACATGCTCCCCGAACAAAGTCGTTTCTTGTTAGTGCCTTTGCATGAATCCAGCTAGCCTTCCCCTGGACCTGCAGACCTCCCTGCTCCCCTCCGTCCCCTGCACCCCACTGACAAACAGACAGACACACACACACACACAGTGCATGCTGGCATGACACGATCCCAAAGCTCTCCCAAGCAAGAATCACAACTTGTGCTTACCCTACAGTGGTGCAGGGGCAAGAAACACAGCATTTCACCCCAACAGGCAACTGCAGTAGTAGTTTCGACATTGAAGCCACATGCAAAACAAATCTTTTAGTGTATCTAATGCTTTCAGCATGTGATCATAAACAAATGCCCAGAGAAACGTGCAAACTTCTTCTATCACTTGCTTTTCTTTAACATATACCTCCTGCTTGTAACTACAGTCAGAGTAATGACAAATGATTTGCCATTATCTCTACAGCCCTGGCTACTCTAGGACATGCAAGATAAAGCACTCTAAGTCAATTTTGTATTTAAATACAAAGATCCGCAAGCCCTGTCTAAATATAGGTGTTTATTCCTCCACATTGTTTACTGCATATGACATCTTAAGATACAGTGCATGACTAAGAACTCACAAGTCAATTTATATTCATAATTAGTATTGTTGTTGCCTTTCTCCCGGCATGAAAAAGGGCACCAAAGATGTTATCTGCAAAGTCAACATTACCAGAAATTACAGGCTTCACATCCTCTGGAAGTTCAGCTAAATAAAAGTGATGAGACTACAAGAATCCTTTCCTGTATTTTCTTTGAAATAGCTGCTTATTTCAAAGAAACCATTTATATTGTAGACACAATTAAGCAGGACTGTTTACAGCAATTTCTACATTTAGCATTAAGTTCAAATGCAGCAGTGAAATTTAGAAACATAAATGTTATACAGCTGCCTGACTGAGAAAGATTAAAATACATTCACTACAATGATTCCAACACGATCTTAAGCACACTCCCCATATCCTCTCTGAGTTGAATACTACACAAGTGAAGGTCAGCAGATTACTAGTTACTAACTTCTGAATACGAACATGTCACTTCTAAGACTAATACCCTCTGTGAACAAAGCCACATTAGAGAC